GTATGTATGATTTCAATGGTGCACCTTTTTGTTGTTGCAGTTTGCTCTGAATATTGGACTTCAGTTCCACACCCCAGAGGAGTACTTCTTAGGCTGGAAGAGCGCCCCCTACAGCCTGCCTGACTTTGACCCGGTGAGCACATTGTAGACTTTCCCAGTCCTGGGCCTCATATTAATCAATGTCTACAAAAAGTGGTGCACACCCTTTTCTATGCAAAAGTTCTGATGTAAATTCATAAAACGACCGTGGAAACGTGCACAGCCTCAAAACCATATTCATAGATGTCAGACGCACGCTTTGACAGGTTTTGGTTTGTTGGCGACACTTAGAGGGGCTGATGGGAAACTGGTAATGGTGTGGCAATAAACAGAACACCTGAGGGCTGTACAAAGCCAGAGTTTCTGTTTTACCAGCTTGAGATAGTTTTGAAGGATTTGTTAGAGCTTGACTTTATTGCCATGGTAACTGTTTCAGTAAGGAGTGCAGAAGGTCCATGTATCCATTATCTTCCTCTTGTTCTGGACTCTGGTCTTGGAGGCAGCAGATAGAGCAGGGCGGTCCAGACATCTCTTTACACAGCCACATCTTCCAGCTCTTCCGGGAGGACTTCAAGGTGTTCCCAGGCCAACTGAGAGATAGTCTTAGAGAGAACAGTCCACCCTTTTCCAACTGAGGACCATGGCCTCACATCTGGAGGTGCTGATCCTCATTCCAGCCGCTTCACTCTCAGCTGTGAATCGTTCCAGTGAGAGATCGAGATCACGGCACGATGACGTGTACAGGACATCATCTGCGAATTGCAGAAGGCCAAACACCTCCAGGCTGCACCAAGAAATTCAGTCCATAAAAGTTATGAAGAGATTTGGGGACAGCGGGCAGCCCTGGTGGAGGCCAACGCAGACGTTCTACAAATTAAATCCACTTGTAAGCATTTGTCCTGCTGTGAGCGACACTAAAAATCTGCAGTTGGACATAATGAGCTTAAAAACAGAAAGATTGTGCAACACTATGTTATAGAAATGGCATGTTTGATTTAAAAAACATGTCCCTAATACTTTTTAGCAATATAAACCCCGTTTTCTGTAAACTGTTTCTTGTAACTATATATTCAAGGGTTCAATAATTTTTATTGTCATTCACATCACATGTGGTACATGAGGTGGAACGAAACTAAGTACACAGGGTCCCAGTTACATCCAACAAAAATACTAATTGTAAAGAAAAACAGTAGTAAGATCCGAGACATGAACTAAGAATACACTAAGCACTAATAGTACAAAAACAATGCGCCAAAACAACAGCAGCACGAACATGAGTTTGTGTGAGCAGATGAGGACTAATGAACGCAGCAACATGAAGTAATCAGCAGCATGAGATCAGCATCATGGATAGTCAGCAGCACATATCAACAACCAAGTGACATTACAGTGATTTTTTTTCAGGGTTTTTTCACAGTGATTATTCTGGTTAGAGATTCATGAGTCTAACAGCTTCAGGGTAGAAGCTGTTCCTCAGGCTAGTGGTTCTACACTTAATGCTCCTCAGCCTTCTGCCTGAGGGGAGCGGGGCAAAAAGTGTGTGTGCTGGATGAGTGGGGTCCTTCATGATGCAGGTGGCCCTATTCCTGCATCTGGAGGTGTAGATGTCTGTGATGGTGGGGAGACTGACTCCATTAGCACGCCATTATTTATTAGCCTAAATTTAAAAAAATAAAAAAAAGTTATGTTTGCTTTTTGAAGTCTTAAGTTTCGGTCCAGTCCTGGAAACACAACAACTTAAAATAAATCTAACTAGGGGTTGAACAAGTATATAATTTTTAAACTCGACATTAACATAATAAAACCCGAGTAGAACTCGAGTATTTGATGACGTCATAGATCTCAAGATACAAAAATAAATAAATAAATAAATAAAACCACAAAAAAAGGTAATTATTTACAAAAAAAAGACCAACAAAACATTGGGAGCGTATATTATGCTCCTACCATTTATCATACTGCAAATAAGTCACAGGAAAAACTAAACTATTAGTTATTATTATTAAACTGCAAACGTGAAGAAACATGCAACACGTCAAAAACGAAACTTAAATCGAAACTGGTTCTGGTTCGGTGGATTGGACCCGGTGTTACACCATACTCTGTGACCTGCAACAGTGCAACATCGCCCCCTACGGTCATACGGTGGTCACATAATATGACGTCACTACGGATACTCGATGTTACATTTTTAACCTCGATAGATGTCCTAGCAATCGATGTGTAGATTACTCGAGTACTCTGTTAATGCCCTAAATCTAACGGATCCCAATCTAAAGGTTTTTCTTGTATTTGTCACAGACATTTAGTTTCAATTTCCTTAAGTTTCACTTAGAACATGCAGGTTATCAGCAGCTTTTTTTTAATTTATTTTCTTTTCAATTAAGTTTTTTTGGGCCAGATGGAGATTGTTCAAGGGCCACTTTTGGCCCTCAGGCCACATGTTGCCCACACCTGCTCTGATCTATGTTAGATGATCTAGATGATGTGTCTATTGTTTTGTGAAACAGAGGAAGCTTGACTCCACCACCAGGCTGTATGACCCTCCGTCAGCCTCTCTCACCTCTGATCAGATGGAGGTCATCGTTGCCGTGGGTTACCCTGCAGGTAAAGGAAGGTCTGTCACCTCTGCTCTCCCATCAACCCACACCCTTCTAATCCTTACCCTCATTTTTTACTCTTCAGCTGGTAAATCCACCTTCTTCCACACTCACGTCATTCCAAAAGGCTACGACTACGTGAACAGGGTGAGGATCCAAACATCCAGAACATTTCACCCTCTGTACCACTGTTGAATCGTGTGATTGTTTCACTTTACTCAGATCCAATTTCCTTTGGTACTTTTTGGCACGTAACTCGTTCGGCCCATTCAGGACATTCCTGCCGTGACTTTTAGTTTTGTGACATTTTACCTTTTTGAAATATTTTGTTTTGTCGGCCATGTTTTTCCTGTTGAAAGTTAATTTAGCTCTCCACATCCGTCAAACCCTTTGTGCTGTTTATAACCTTTTACTGCTCATTGCAGCTGTTGTTCTGGTCCAGCTTGTTTCAGCTTGCTAAATGTAGCCATTTTCAGCTACTTTGTAGGTATTTTTCTGACAAATTGAGCCTTTGTTTTGCAATTTTTTCTAGTTTCTACTTTTTTTTCCAAAGAATTTCAACTTTTGATGCAACTTTTAGCCTCTTTCTGCTAATTTTGGGGGGTTTTCATCTACTTTTTTCCTGCTCATTTGTTTGTTTTTTTGTTTTGTTTTTGCTAATTTCAGATTTTTCATACCCTATTCAGCCTCTCTGCATATTTCAGCTTATTCAGCTACATTTCTGCAGTTTTTCCTGCTTTTTTAATTTTTTTGCTTTCATCAAACATCAGCTGTTTAAATTCAGCTCACATTAACAGTTTAGAGATTAAACCATTTCAGCTGTATTTTGTTTCTCTGTATCAGGACACCCTCGGCTCCTGGCAGAACTGTGTGTCGGCTTGTGAGCGTGCTCTGAGGGCGGGCCGCAGCGTCGCCGTGGACAACACCAACCCAGACCCGGAGTCTCGGAAACGGTACGTCCTGTTCCGTAGGTGTGTCCTCACTGAGTAAACCTTCATTTAATCTGGCTAATTAAAGCCACTTAAACGCACACAGCCGAGGGCGGGGGTCCGTGTGCATTTTCTCTAACGTCTCATTTAAGCCACGTGTCTCGAGGTTGGTGCTCCTGCTGATGGATCAGTCTGATCGTCGTCTTTGCTTCAGTTTGTGGATAAATTCAGTGTTTCACCTCCGTCTGGCAACAAGCTCTCCAAAACTAAATGATTTAAAAGTTACAGTTTAACAATCTATAAAAAAAAACAAAAACAAATAAAACACTATTTGGCAGAAAAAATGTAGCATTTTAGCAGGTGCAACATCGTTCTGTCAGGTCATCTGGACGGTTTCTTTTTTTTGTTGAGATGTTTCGTCCTTCATCCAAAGAACTTCATCAGTCCAAGGAGCCACAAACAAACTCAGGCCCACAAGCAGCACACTCACATAGTGGAGTGTACTGAAAAAAGTATATGGGACTGAGTCAGGTCCAGAGGACCTGTCTGAACGATGTTGGATCTTCTACTTGGATTATTGAGCATGAACTTTGGTATTTTAGCAGGTGGTTCACGTTGATTTATCAGAAGTTGTTGGCTTAAAACTTGTCAAATACAAAAAGTGTTCACCCACTTGGATGTTTTCTGCTTTTATGGCTGTCATAAGTCAATCATGGTCAATTTAAATTTGTCTTTTTGTACTAAAATAATAATCTTCAATATTGTGACATTGAAGTTTGACGAGTTAGTTTCCACAAAATAATCCAAATTAAAGAAAACTGCGTAACGTAGAACATATAATTTCATAAATATTCACTCCTGTTAAAGTCACTAATTCAACTCAGAGAAAATATTTTAGAAAAGTATAGAAAATATGAACTGTCCCCAGGAGTTCTGTTAATTTAGAGGTAAAACAAGCAAAGGCCAAAAAAAAAAAAAAAAAAGTTTTGAAAGACCTTAAAGAAACATGCAGAATTTTTTATTTCAATGTTTCAAAGGTTTTAAGAGTTTGGCTACTTGAAAGCAAAATGTAAAGGAATCAGGATGTTGGGTTCAGCTTCTTATGCTCCTTCCACCTTCTTGCTAGTTTTATTTTATTTTTTGCTACCCCCGTTTTCTATTTAGCCTCTCTGCCTGATTTAGCTTATTCTGCTCCATTCAGTTTCGTCTACACATTTCTGTCATCTTTCTGTCATCTTTCGGCTTTTTTCCCCTCCTGCTTTCAGCAAATGTGAGCTGTTCAAATGAACTCACATTAATAATTTAACGATGAAACCTTTTCAGCAGCTTTCAGCAAAAATCATTTGCATGCATCTTCACAGGAAATGCCATTTCTTTAGTTTAATTTAAATGTGAAAGTTTAAGCTCTTGATGATGCATGACGGATGAATGTGTGTGTTTTCTGCAGGTATGTGGACGTAGCCAAAGCAGCAGGGGTGTCCTGTCGCTGTTTCCACTTCTCAGCCTCTTTGGATCAAGCCAAGCACAACAACAGAGTACGAGTCATTTCTCTACGTTTTCGTTCAATCTACAACTTGGTTCCCCACTTATGACGTGTATTTTCTGTTTTTTGCTACCAGTTCCGTGAGATGGCTCCATCAGACAGAAAACACGTTAAGGTCAATGACATGGTGTTCCACAGCTTCAAGTGAGTGCAGCTGACCTGAAGTAGAAACGTTAACGGACATGTTGGGAGTTGAGATTTTGTCTGGTGACCTCGGTCGTAGAGCGGAGGGGAAGTTGTAAATACGCTCCATCTGTCTGTCCACGTTGTGAACATCGTAACCTGAATAATAAGTGAAGTGCCGACTTCCATTTTGGTTTATGGTTACATCCAGGTGTAAAAAAGGTCACAATCTACCTGTAGTCCTGAAAAAGGGGCCGGTTCCACGAATAATTGCTAGTGGAAAAGCCTTGGAACCGTGCCGAGTCAAACCGTGCTGTACGGCACTAATGGAAAAGGGCCATAAGTGGGTTGCCATGTCAAAATGCAAGATGGCTACCACCTTATGTAAAATGGCCACCTCGATCATTTGAGGAAACTTTGTTTTCTAGTTTTTAGGGGAGTGGTGGTGCAGTGGTTAGAGAAGGCGAGCCTGTGATTGGAAGGTCTCCCATATGACCATAGGACTACTTGGACCAACAACATCAAAATGTGGGTGGGAAAGGTGAAACACCCACACCTGCCTCCACCCTCATTTGATCCACTCTGGGCCCTTGAGCAAGGCCCTTAACCCCCACCATCTGCCACCCTGGACGCCCTAGATGACGGCTCTCTGCTCCACACAGAGGGTTGTGGTGGTTCAGTGCTCTGTGGTTGTGTCAGGAAGAAAATCTGACGTAAAAACAATCGCCAGGTCTTCGTGCGAGTTAGTTCGCTGTGTTGACCCCTGAAGAAAGGAGCAGCCGAAAGAAATGCTTTCTAGTTTTTATATTGCTTAGTACAGTTTACTCACATGACCAGTGGCCCTTAAAGTAGCCAAAGGTTAATCTATGGTGGCCAAGACCACCATTGGCCACCCTCTGGCTCCGTCATTGTGCCTGGTGGTTTAATAAAGCAAACAAAAAATGTGTCGCTGTTCTTCTACACACGAATATCTTGCACCCAAAACATTAAGGTTTACTCTCATTTCCTGTCTAACTCCAGTCCAGAGAAACACTCATCTCAAAAACTACATTCACTTTTCAAACCCCTCAGCGACGGGGGACATTGATGTACCGCTTGTTCACACTGACGCTCTGTAGGTTTTGAGTTCTGCTAAATGAGCCCTGAGAGGACCAGTTCTGACTGCTGCGACCCGTTTTTCTCCTTCTGGACAGGAAACACTTCGTGGCTCCCGCTCTGTCTGAGGGATTCTCCGAGATCCTTCAGGTTCACTTCGTCCCAGTCTTCAAAGACGTCCAGTCGGAAACTCTGTTCAGACAATTCTCCGAGGGCTGACCAGATCTCCGTTAGCTTTTTACAGTCCGATGTAACGGCCTCACTTCTGATTTATATTTTGTCTGAAGGGCTTTAGCTGTTGTAACAGCAGTGACAATAATTTGACTTGTAGCTCAAAATCAGGTTCTGTATTTTGTTACAAGAATAAATGTTCATGCTGCCTCTGTAATGGATTTAGAAAAGAAAAGCTACAAAACCATGCTTCATTCTCTTCTGTGGTTCATTTTCCTAAAAGTGCTCAAACAAGCAGAGTGCTTTTTCTGTTAATGAACATAATCACAAAAATGTTACTTTTTGCCTGATCTGCAACAGAATATTACCAGTAACCACATCAAGCAGTAAATAAGGCATAAATCCAAGTATTTAGATTTTCAGCATATTTAAAACTGACGATTTTCAACATTTAACACTTAAATGAACAATTTGTAAGAAGCAGGACTAAATTAACATTTGAGACCTGATTGATTATTAGTGGAGCCTGATACCAGCACTCATAAAAACACCTCAATTCTTTGGACCGATACAGTTTTTGTGCTTTGTGATGTCATTTCCTCCACTTTGCAAGTAACTGAGGACAATTTGTTTTAGAGGCTGTAGTTTGGAGATAATTTAGAATAAACAGGTGATGTCAAGGCAGCAGACTCTTGTTGTGTTCTTAAGAAAATAAATGTTTCACAAGTCATTATGTAATGTTCAAGTACTAACTCATTAACTATTCTGTATCAGTGAGTGCAAAACTGAAGTACTTGTACTTTGGTGTGAAAACAAGATAGTAACGGAACGTCCCTAATGATTAAAGTGGCTTTAGAGTGAACTGCTGTCACCGACCGAAAACAACCTCAAAGACTGAATGTAGAAGAAAATGATCAAAGCCGTAAATTCAGATGATTTAAAAAATATATTTTTTAACCTAAAAGTGTGATGCTTTACAAATATCTTCCACATTCACAAATTATAATTAGAGAGCTCGTATTATGAACCGTACACCATCAATTTAAGTACAAAACTTCACAAATGGTCTGTAAAAACTGTTGGAAAACACATAAACCATTTGAATTAAATCGTTTATCTTTTTGTTTAAACCATGACACTTTGTTCTGACCGATCCTGGTTCTGCTCATTTGACGTCGGACAGGAACTGGATCTCGTTTCCCAGGTGTTCTTTCAGCCACGGCAGGATCTTGAAGAGGTCGATGTGAAAGTCTCGAGCGTCAGGAGGAGGGCGGCTGCTGCTGTATCGGCTGTAGGCTGGCGGGACTTTGCCGCACATGTTGATGGTGCCCCAGCTCACAACCCCCATCTGTGGATAGAAGCAGAAGATCCAAATACACAACTTCATAAACCATGGGGGGGAATCTTCTTTTTTTTTTCGGGGGCGGGGGGGGGGGGGCGCTTCCAAACCTGAAAATAACGCATTCTTTTCTGCAGAAACAGGGATCCACCAGAGTCTCCTACCAACACAGATACAAATCAATCCCAGATTATTCGATGTCACTGATTTGGCCCAAGCTCAGTAAGTAAGCAGAGTTCAGACCTTTGCAGGTGACTGCATCCTGGTAACCTGCAGTGCCGCCGGTGCAGAGGAGTCTGTCCGGTACAAACTCATCTAAAGTCACATTCATGGACTCGGTTAGCAGTCGCTTGGCCTTCTCCACGCAGCTAGCCCTCTGCAAGCAGAGTTATTTTAAATAAGCGTCTCCATCAGAATAATGACAGAAAGGCAGGGAAATGGCCTCACCTGACTCTGAGTGTGGATGTGTGTTTGTTTACGTTCGGTCTTCTGCATAAAAAAGGCAGGAGTCTCCCTGTGAGCTAGGAGCTCATTCCCTGTTAGGACATTCAAAAATACTGCAGTCACATTACAGTGTCCTAAACTTGTCCCCAATCCCAGCGCCAAAAGGGATAATTGGAAATACCATCCTGTCCAGCAATGCATGCCGTGAGCATAACTTAAAAAATAAGTGACTTGCATCTTGGTGTGTGGTTGCATGTAGTCATACAAAATTCAAAAATACTTTATTAATCCCAGAGGGAAATTATATGTTGTGGTAACTCATCACCCTGGATTCATAAGAGTTGTTAAAGCTGATGGATGTGGACAGGAAGGATCTCTTGCAGCAGATCTGAAGAAGCCTCTGACTGAAGACACTGTTGTTGTATGACAATCTGATGAAGAGGATGCTGAGGGTTGTCTATAATATTCTTCAGTTTATGAAGAATCCTTCTTTGTACAATCATCTCCAAAGGTTCTAGAGGAGTCCCCAGAACTGAGCCAGCCTTCTTTATGAGCTTGTTGATCTTTTTTAAGTCACTTGCTCTGGTGCTGCTGCCCCAGCAGATGATGGCAGAAGAGATAGCGCTCTCTACAACAGACTTATAGAAGATATGCAGCATCTTGCTGCAAACACTGAAGGACTTCAGCTTCCTCAAGAAGTACAGTCTGCTCTGTCCCTTCTTGTAGACAGATTCACTGTTGCATGTCCAGTCCAGTCTGTTGTCCAGGTGAACTCCAAGGTATTTATACTTCTCCACCACCACCACTTCTTCTCCTATGATGGAAATAGGGTTGGACCTGTTCTTGTTTCTCCTGAAATCTACAATCATCTCCTTTGTTTTGTTCACATTGAAGATGAGATGATTGTTTCCACACCATGCCACAAAGCGGTCCACCAGTTCCCTGTACTCGGCTTCTTGTCCATCTCTGATACACCCGACCACTGCAGAGTCATCAGAATATTTCTGCAGATGACAGGAGTCTGTTTTACACTGGAAATCTGAGGTGTACAGAGTGAAAAGGAATGGTGAGAGTACAGTTCCCTGTGGTGCTCCTGAGCTACTGACCACCTGGTCAGACACACAACCCTTCAGTCTCAAACTGTGGTCTGTCCGTCATGTAGTCTTTGATCCAGGTGATAAGAAAGATTACACTTGAAAATCAGGTTGCCATGTCAAAATCCAAGATGATTGCTGCCATGTGTGTGTGTGCATGAGAACATAACACCCCTGTCATTTGAGAAAACGACATTTTCCCTGTTTTTATGATTTTATGTTGCTTAAAAGTATAGTTTCATCAAAAGAAAGGGGTGGCCAAAGAAAGCCACTCGCTGGCTATGCCATTGCACCTAATGGTGGATGAAAATGCTCCCTCTTTTTACCATGACCTGTCACTCCGCAGTCTCAGACAAGGGGGGAAAAATACCATACTTCTACACACTGTAACTCCTACTCACTTGAATATCTTGCACCAAAAACATTAAGGTTTACCTGTTCAGATAAACACTCATCTCAAAAACTACTAACATTGACTGTTCAAATCCCTCAGCGAAGGGCGACATTGGTGTACTGCCCGTTTACTTGGGACTGAACTTATTCTGGTCTTATTTGGCATCGAGGAGTGTAAAATTACGTACTGTGTTGCTCACAGGTGGAGCCGAGTTTCTTCATGGCTCTAGAGGCTGCAACAGTACATGGCAAGCAGATTGGTCTGTTGCAAAACATTCAGAAAACAAAAGTCTTAAGAAAATGTACAAGTGTGTTTTCCACATCTGGGCCTAAGAGATACACTTAACATTTAAAAAGGTTTGTCTCGTCTGTCTTACCTGGCCTTCCGGTTCAGAGGGATGCTGCGGCTTGTCTGTACCAGAGCCACATCGTAGTCATAAAACTCTGATACATTTCTATGTTTGAGCGCGTAGATGTTGTACTTGGGATGCAGTATTATCTTCTTGAATTCAACTTCTTCACCTGGGAATCAAAGATGAACATGATGGGAAACACTTGGTCCAAAGAGGAGAGCATGAATATGAGGGGATTTATTTATGCATCCATTAGGTAAGCAGTATCGATCCAAGCACTGAACCCTGAGGAACTCCATGACCAACTCTGGTGTACGAAGAGGATTCATTATTAATATGAACAAACTGGACTCCATCAGATAACTCAAATTTGAACCATTTTAGAAAAGTTCCTGTAATCCCAATATGTTCAAGCCTCAGTATCAAAATATTGTGAAATCAAACGTAGCACTGAAATTTAACAGGACAAGTATGGACACACGTCCACCATCTGAGGTAGAGTTGCATTCGGGCCTAAAAAATCCGACCCGGCCCAAACCCGTATCATTTTTTCTGAGATCGACCCAAAACCGACGGATGAACTATAATTACAGGCCCAAAACTGAAAAAAAACAAACATTTTTTAATTAAGCTTTTACTGTAAGCAAATCAGTTTGACATGATGTTTTAAAAATGTATTTCATGTAAGATTTTTTGTTTCACCAAATGGATATTAACATGTAAAACAAATAGCCTAAAACCAACTCTAAAGACTGGCTATTATACAGATGAACAAAAATATTTTTAGAGCAAAATTATTTGGAAAAATATAGAACAAGTCTATTTTAATTGATCGAGCTGCTCGCTTCAGCTTTTGTAGATGCTGCTACTTCCTTCACCGCAGATGAGAACAGGTGTAGAGACATGCGCGGCCAGTGATCAGCTCATTCATCTGAAGCTTAACTGAACCTTTTTTTTTACCTCTTTCAACCGGCCGGTCGGACCTGCCTCCTCCTCTACAAGTAGATTAACACAGTTTTATATTGTGCGTTCTTATTTATTTTTCTTTGTGCTGTATGATTCCTAAAACTGCATCATAGAAGCCAGAGCTGACATGAGCAATTATTGCGCAATGTACCATAATGATCACACGTTTGCACCAAAAGTTTGGTTCCATTGACTGTTTCTCAGGAAATCACAGCAATCATTAGAAATGTTTGTGTAAATGAATTTGGACGGACTCACTTTGCACTCTTGGTGGGGTTTCAGAAGAAACTGTAAGTCCTGTAGCAGTGAAAGACAGTGTGGGGAAAGAAAAAAACCCCACTCAAATCACTGAGTTTTGATGTATTATAAACTATAAAAATCAAAGACTGTAAAAATACAAATAATTGACACCATTACAATCCAAGTTAAACATTTTGTTGTAAATCCTTAAACACCTTAAATTATGTAAAAACCATGAAACATGTAAAAAGGACATATAAAATCCAACTTTGTTTGACTCGTTAGAACTTTAAGATGTTTCTACACTGAAGTATGTTGGAGCTAAAGAGACCTGAGTGAAGTTACCGCCCCCACCCCACCTTCTTCAAATCTATCAGAATCGGTGTCAAACGTTTGTGCAGCAAAAAAGTTTTGTTTGTGCAGCTATCATTTTAAAGATATTAATAAATGTTGCCAGAGGTCAAAAAGTGCAAAAGTATACAAAGTACAGTGTGTTTGATAGCATCCCCTAGTGATCAGAAACCAAAATACAGGTCATTGGGTTGGTTTTTTTGGAGGTGTCGTACCAGTTCATCCTAAATAAGACGTAGTTCAAAATGAATTTCATCCAAGTTAAAATTAATCTATTCATGTTCATAGTTCAGCACCTAAGCATTTTAAATGAAATTCACAGTTCCAACATGAACAGATATTCGCTGACCTTTGATGACCTCTGGAAACTTTTTATTAATATCTTTCAAACGATAGCGGCACAAATGAAAATTTTTGCTGCACAAACCAGCACAAACGTTTGACACCAATTTCTTTAGATTTGAAGGAGGTGGTGGTGGTGATGGTGGTGATGGTGGGGGGGGGGGGGGGGGGGGGACTTCACTCAGGTGCTAAAGAGCTCCAAAGAGGACTGGGTTTTCTCACTAATTCCACCAGAACCCTGTTGTGCAATTTGTTTGCAGTTTGTTGCAAAGTTTCTCCATATCATATAATCTGTTGCAACCAAAGGTTATTGTAAAATATTCCAGACTAAACTGCACATTTTGATTTTTTTTTAAATAGATTATAAAGCTGTGGAAGGCGTAGCAAATCAAAAATTGTGAATAAACAAGAAAATCAGGTATATTACTCAAAATGATCATTTTTAACTCATTTTATAAATCTATTTTGTGTCTTCTACAAAAACTTTGTTTGCACCGCTCACCGTATTGTATGATCAGCTTCTTCGGGCCCCTGTCTGTGCTGTTTCTGGCAAAGCAGTGAGCGGCCGTCAGCACCCAGTTCTGGCTAACAATCGAGCCAGAACAATCATTTATTTTCGCATCAGGCTGCAGCAGAGGACAAGTCATTCTGAGTGACAACCTGATTTAAACGTATAATTGTGCCTTCAGAGTGTGGAAGCACTTACTGACAGAGTCACGTGCCACGGCCTGGTGTAGGCTATTGTGCCTCCAAGCTCCGTGTTTTTGGAGATGTCTTCCTGAGCGACCCCACACTTTGTCACGCTACTGTCACCTGATTTATTAAAATGGTTTAAAAAATATATATACATTTTATAAGAAAAAGCATGTTTTCTTTGTCTTTAAAGTTCAATTACTTTACGGTTCGAGTGGGAAAAATGTTGGATTTTGTGAGTGAGTTGCGTGCTCCTCACTGATGATGCTGTTGAACACCTCTCCCAGCTTCTCATAGTCCTTCAGAACAAAGAAATGTGTCTCGCCACGTTTCTTAGAGGCCAGAGAATTCAGCTCCTCTTTGTTCACCGTGGTTCCAATGCCAAATACGTAAACATCTGGGCGGAAAAAGCACATTGAGCTCTCTACAACATTTATTTTTGTTGGAATTTTAAAGCAAACACCTTTGTCTTGTAAAAATAAATATATTTAAATATTTTAAATGATTGTTTTGTTATTATACCCAGCATTTTTTCATTAGAGTGATCATTGGCTGTGCTGTTGGTGTAACCCAGTAAGCCCCGGATCTGGGCCAGAGCAATGTGAGGCTTGTTCCCCGTGTTGGAATAACCTTCAGAAAAAAAAAAAATTAAAAGGAAATAAATGTCGCCCCTTAGATACAAATGCACCATAACACACCAATTTATGTTATTTCCATAGAACTAAAGTAAAACATTTTGTCCTGTAAGTCCGTGGTCAACAAATGGTTTGAGTAAACTTTATTTTACCGTCTGTTTCGATGATGATGATGTTCTGAGTGTCAGCTAATTGTTCCTTGGTGCTGGTTACGTTTAAGAAGTTGATCACCTTTTGGACATTATGCAGAGCAGAGTACAGGTTGGTGCCCGTCTTGCGCCCATGGCCTTCAGATGAACAAACACCAAGTGCTGAATTACTTCATTTACCAGTTAATTTGTTTGTTAACACATAAAAATATGATTGTGGTGTATCACACAGTTTCACATCCCAGGAGGCGCAAAGATCATAAAGGAACAAATCAGGTCTTACTTTTGTAGTCAAAGTCCATCAGAGCCAATATGACCTCGTCAGCATCGCCGCTCAGGTCCGTGTCAGTAATGTCCACAATGACTTTGGTCTCGCTGGCAAACGACAACACGTGGAAATTCAACTGGACTTCATAGCTGTCGAGCTGGAGATAGAAGGAGACATTTACTGAAAAAGGGAGCATAAAAACAGACGATGTGTTTAGACTCTGATTTTGTGCTGACCTTTCTGATCAGGGCGATGGTGGCATCTCTGGACTTATTAAAGTCTGCCTCATTGATGCTTCCTGATGTGTCAAGTAAGATATAGATGTGCATATGACTGACTTCAGCCACTCGGAAAGTTCGGCCAAATGATGGTGTAACCTCTTTTTCACCACAAACACACACACACACAAAATAAAACTTAAATCTTTTTGCTGTTTTTGTAATATCTAAAATAATTTTGGGGTGGTTTCCCAGACTGAGGTAGTTAAACAAATTTGCGCTGGACGAGATTCACTCAAAAGTTCCTGAAGGCTCTGAAGGTTGTTGTGCTGTTATTGTCAACACGTCACACATACAGGTCAGGAACCGTGCCTTTGGACTGGCTCACTTTGGGTTGCTTTGCTGCTTTTTAAGAATAATGTGGTCCTAAAGGCCTCCAACAGGGACGTCTAGCGGGCAGCGGAGCAGTTTGCAGCCAAATGAAGTGGCTTGGATGAAGATCGACTCCCCAAACCCTGAGCCCATCGTCCCCATCAGGAAAATGGGGAACGAGTCATATTTGGGTTGAAAATGAGCAACTTTACCACACGGAGGAGTTCAATATCTAAGTTTATGAGCAACTATAGATGGATGCATGGATTGAAAGGTGGGGCAGCCGACTTGGAACCAGAAAGTTGCAGGTTCAACTCCTCGCAATGCCCACAAGTCATGGATTCTTTGAGCAAGACACTTAATCCCTCACATGCTCCCTGAGTGCTGCCCCTTGCTCCATTTGGTGAATCTCACGTGTGATGGGTCAAATGAAGAGCAAAAATGTTTTCATTGTATGAGAACATACAACGATGACAACACATGCACTTTCACTTTTACTGGGGTGACGTCTGCAGAGGTGCAGACACTGCTCAGCTATCTGGGCAGAGCCTAGTGTAGGGTCACAGCTCCTCTGCATTAAAAGGAGCCATTTGAGGGGATTTAGTCGAGGCAAGGATGCCTTCCACTGAAGATTTAACCTTCCTACTATGTTAGGGTCTGTAGTGACCCATTTTAAATTTTAAATCATGATACTGTCTTTTAAATATTTTTTTTTGCATCAAGGCTTTTTGACTTTGTCTGGAACCTTTATTTAAATAAAAAAATATATATATTTTTTTTCACTAAATTTAATTTTTATTTTTTATAGAACAACACGCACTTGCCGCGCTGGGGTCATTTGTGACCCAGTTATGGTATAAGACTATCAACCAATAATCAGTGTCAAAACTGAAATCATAAACACTGTGACCTCACTAACTTTGTCATACATATGTTAGGGCCTTCTGTTTTTACCTGTTTGTCTACTTCACTGACCAAAACATCCCCATTTATCCGTACTAATTTTATTGATAAGTCCCTCATACTCTGCTCCCAAAAACTGAAAAAGTTCATCCAGCTGTAGATGCAGAGACATGTTGAGGCATGCCCATGTAGAGATAAGCCTACCTGGATAGCCATGCCCATCTTGATAGGCAGACCTAGATAGACACACCCACCTGGGTGTGTCTCTACATGGGCATGTAGAGACATGTAGAAACAGACACTCCATTTTACCTAGAGCTTGGCTACATACCAAAATGAAGAGAAGATTCACAGTACAAGAAGCTCTAGATCACATCCTTGCGAAAATGATGCAGAGGACACACCTAGTGACACAGATGAGCCAGTTTCTGAGGAGGACGATGCTATTGAATATGAATCAGAGTACACAGACTCGTCGGATGAGGAGGGCACAGGTGCTGAAGCTGCTCCTATAACTGAAACCTATAAATCCAAAAAGGGTAACATCACTTGGAGTGCGATTCCTCCTGTTTCACATGGCAGGGAAGCTGCTGAAAATGTTATGAAGATGACCCCTGGGATTACAAGGTTTGCTGTGACACGAGTAAGTGACATCAAGACATGCTTTGATTTGTTTATGCCATTGTCACTAAAGAAAGTCATCATTGCTATGACAAACCTCGAAGGGAAAAAAGTTCACGGTGACACTTGGAAGGACATTGATGAGGAGTGCCTGGATGCTTTTATTGGTGTTCTTCTTCTCGCTGGCGTGTACAGATCCAGCAATGAGGCCCTTACTAGTCTCTGGGATGTGTCCACAGGCAGGAGTATTTTCCGCGCAACAATGTCACTTCAGACCTTTCAAATGATCTCAAGAGTCCTCAGATTTGACAACAGAGATACTAGAGCACGGTCTGACAAGCTTGCTCCCATCAAAGACGTCTGGGATAGATGGGTGAAGCTCTTTCCACTGATGTTCAACCCAGGACCAGAGGTGACAGTGGATGAGCGTCTTCTCCCTTTCCTTGGAAAATGCCCCTTCCGGCAATACATGCCCAGTAAGCCAGGCAAATATGGCATAAAAATCTGGGCAGCCTGTGATGCGAAAACCAGCTAAGCCTAGAATCTACAGATTTACACAGGCAAACTTGCAGCTGGCATCCCTGAGAAGAATCAAGGAAAACGGGTAATCCTTGATATGACTACTGGACTGCGGGGTCACAATATCACGTGTGACAATTTCTTCACCAGCTATGATCTTGGACAAGAACTTCTCAAGAGGAAACTTACCATGGTGGGCACAATAAGAAAAAACAAACCTGAGCTGCCCCTTGAAATTTTGCAGGTGAAAGACAGGGCTCCACTGTCTTCAAAATTTGCTTTTACAGAAACCACCAGTGTTGTTTCATACTGTCCCAAAAAGAACCGGAGTGTGGTACTTATGTCCACTCTTCACAAAGATGCAGCTGTGTCAACAAGAAGTGACAAAAAGCCTGAAATCATCCTGGACTTCAATAAAAACAAAGGAGGAGTGGACACCCTGGACAAGCTGACTGCCACCTACACTTGCCAGCGAATGACCAGGAGATGGCCAATGGTTGTATTTTACAACATCCTAGATGTGTCTGCATACAATGCATTTGTCTTGTGGACCCAGATTGACTTGGGGTGGAACGCCAAAAAAAACCACAAGCGGAGATTGTTCCTTCAGGGATGTTCCTTTAGAGATGTGTTCTAATACTTCTTAAAAAAACACTGTTTTGAGGGCATTTTTTGGCTGATTTAAGACGGGTCACAACTGACCCGTTCACATCATAAGTGCGTGTGGGATCTCGCCCCGCTAGGAAGGTTAAGACACTGAACTTGTTCAAGAGATTATATCTCAGTTATCTTGGAAACGCCTCAGAAGTAGCAAGAAGAGATGAGGCTTTTGTGATTCTGTTATAAATAAGCAGCAGTAAATTGATGGTTACCAGGCACAGATTAACGCTTGTTCTAGATTGAAATGGTCTTTTAACACAGACACTTATTCATCACTGTGTAAAATAGTCCAACACTGCCTCGTACTGAGTCAATTAAAATGATTTCCTATAACAAGATTAGAGCTAATCCAAAATTAAATCAAAGTTTTCCTGTATAGATAGTTTAAAATTAATCAGGTTCAAGACTCTGCTCTAATCTGTTGGTGTTTTAGAAAGCCGTTTGTTAGACTGAAATTAATTATTCTAGATTAAGACCTACTTTTGGCTAAATTTGATCTTTTCAGGAAACCACTCCTTTATGTTCACACTAGCACCCACTTTTCTTTTTGAAGGCTGGAAAAAGTACATCCATCGTTCCTGCAAGGAATCCTGCTAAGGCGCCAGCCACATAATCAGGAGAGTCAAAGGTATATGGACCTGCAAAGAAAAAATATATATTGTTGATGGGGAACGACTGCTTATTGTATTGTACCGATGTGGAACTGTGTGTGGTCTCATGGACTTATTGAAGATGCATGTAAAACTCCCTAAAGACCTTGGCAGCGTGGTGTTGAACCACTCCACTCCCTGTTCTCCAGGCAAACCCTTTCAGATGACCCAAGAAGGTTGAGACCGGCCTGGCACCGGTACGTCACTTTTTCTCCTATTAAAAATCGACCTGCTGACCTTTCAGCACCCGGCGGGACCCCTGGGTCGTTACAGTCATCAGCTGCAGTGAAAGAAATACAATCATATCTCATCATTTGTTCTGGAGTCGTCATAGATTTGTGTTTGTGTTCAAAAACGGCTCAAAATATTTTTTATTGATATTAAAAATATGCCTTAGACCTATTAAGTAAGCCAAGATAGCTGTTATAAAAGTATATTTTCTTGATTTTATTTTATCACAATTTAATATATATTATCCATCCATCCATCCATTTTCTTCCACTTGTGCGGGGTCAGGTCGCCGGGGTAGCAGCCTCAGCAGTGAGGCCCAGACTTCCCTCTCCCCAACCACTTAGGCCCGTTTCTCCATGGGAATCCCAAGGTGCTCCCAGGCCAGGTGAGAAACGTCCCTCCAGCGTGTCCTGGGTCTTCTTCTGGGCCTCCTCCTGGTGGGATGTGTCCTTACCATATACAATATTAACTAGAGAAATTTGCACTTTCTCCTGCAAAAACGCAGCGTGACTGTTTATTGCTGAGCGAGTTAGCTGAAAACTGGTAAACAAGCAAAAGCTTACTTGAAAAACAACAGGTGAAAAGTTGAAAAAGGAAGCTGAAAGTGGCACAAAACAGCTGAAATAAGCTACAAATAACTGGAAAAAATGCACAAAATTCTAAATTTACGAGACTGAAAGAGATTTTTTTTTTTAAACTGAAATAAACAAAAAATAATAATCTGCAGAGCACAAAAAAGCCAAATTAGCTAAAAAGTAGTAAAAAATTCTTGAAAATAGCAACAACAACAAAAAAAAAGTAGCTGAAAACTTTTAGTAGAAAGAGCCTGAAAGAGCACAAGTTTACTGAAATAAGATTAAATAAGCACAAAAAGCTGAAGTTAATGTAAAAGTTAAAAAAAACAAAACAGAAAAAAGCCAAAAAGAGCATAAAAAGCTGTAAATATTAGGGGTGTAACGGTACGCTAAAATCATATTTCAGTTCAGTTCAGTTTCAAGGAGGGCTTGGTTCGTTCATTTTCGGTACAAAAAAAGGCCAAAATGAAGATTTACAAAATGTTTATTTTGAAAATATGCCAAGTAAACAATACGCTTGTATAACAATAAATAAAAGCGACCCATTTGGATGATATTTTAAATAAATACACTCTTTACAATAAATAAACTATACTGTCCATTTTCTTTCACTTGTTCTTCTCAGTTTGTATGCTTTCTTTTATGAATGTCTACTGTTGTCATTCTTTGTTAAAATCAGGTCTCTCTTGTAAATGAGTCCCCGAGGCTCAATGGGACTAGACTGTATAAATAAAAGTTGAATGAATGAAAAAAAGAAGCACAAAACCTTTGAAGGATGTGGAGAGCATTCATGTTCGAGAACATGGCCAACAAAGCTAAGTACTTCTAATACTAATTTTATACTAATACTTATCATTTCTAATGTTATAATTTTGCAAATACCGTCACAGCAGGAGTGTCCTGAATTTATATTCATGAATTGTTGAAACGGAACAAAAAGTGCAGAAAAATGAACATGCTGCAAAAAGTATGAAAGAAAAACGGATCTGAATGGAATCATTTTTAAACATAATTAGATGACCCATGCTTTGTCATGATGAACGTTTTTATGGGTTCCTCACCGTGATCGTTACAGATCGGAGTGGTGCCTGTCCACTGTCCAGACGATGTGCAGTTTCTTTGCTCCGACCCGTACAGGGTGAACCCCTCCTGGCAGGAGAAGCTCTGCATTCTGCCAATTTTGAACCACTGATTCCTTGGCCAAAAGTCACCATTGTCCAACTGGAGCTGACCCGGACACAACACATCTGTGTGCAGAATGGAGACGAGCATGTTGAAGATGGAGGATGAAAGTGGCAGAGTACAAGAAATGGAAATTATGTCCATTAAGCACTTTACCTTTGCACATAGCGCGGGACATGAGTATGCCACTTGATAGTCTCATGGGCGACCACTCTCCATCAGCATCGCAGATCCGGGAGTCAACAGGGAATGGGTACCGTCCCAGGCCACAATGATAGGTCAACATGCTGCCCTCCAAACCTCCCTATAAAAACATCACATACTGTAGTACTTTTTAATATGGTTCAAAAATAGTAACAAATCTAATCAAAGTATGGCAGCACAACGTCTCAGTGGTTAGCACTGTTGCCTCACAGCAAGAAGGTCCTGGGTTCAATTCTCAGTTGGACCTGGGGTCTTTCTGGGTGGAGTTTGCATGTTCTTCTCGTGCTTGCTTGGGTTTTCTCCGGGTACTCCAGTTTCCTCCCACAGATTAAAAACATGCATGTTAGGCTGACTTCAGGCCTAACTTGCAAAAGAGATCTGTGATCTCAATGGGATTTGCCTGGTTAAATAAAGGTTAATAATAAGGACTCAGGAAATGGGCAAATGCATGCAGGCAGGTTTGAAGTGGAGTTTGGACTCAGATGAAACAGTTCTCCTGAGCATCTTATTAATTTTTTAGAAAACTCAATTTCTCTTTCCCTCAGTGGACTTTACCTAAGCACAGCCTTAATCACAGCACAGGCATCTGACTCCTCAGCTCAGAATAAAAAAAACATATATTTTATTTTTTTAACTTTGCGTGCCTTTTCACTTTTAACTTGTTTTAATTCCCCTCAGTTTTATTGTCCCCGTCATGGAGCAGAGAGGGAAACTGGAAAAAAACATCCTACCTTCTATCCTGTGAGCTTCGTATCTTGGGGGGTAAAAAAAAGTGAGGTACCAACTTCTATTTTTGATGTGAAGCTGCTTCTAGGCATAACAAGGGTCACTACTGAAAAACTGAGTTGGTAAAAACCAAGATGGTCACCGCCATATATACACACACACACACACACACACACACACACACACACACACACGTGCATGTGCCTGGTTGAGGATAAAATCACTCCTTCCACTCAGAAGGATCCGTAACTCTGCGCTACATCATGTTAGGAAAAAACTAATCAAAACTAAAAAAACTTCCCTCTGTTCTTCTCCACAGTGTAACTCCAACCCACTTAAACATCTTGCACTAAAAACATTAAGTATCATGTTACATGCTCAACAATCCAGGTAGAAAAATCCAAAAAAGTTCAATCTGGTCCTCTGGACATTAAAAAAAAAAAAAAAGCAAAAAAATATAGAAACGTTTCGTCTCTCATCTGAGAGACTTCCTCAGTCTGAGGTGCTGTATTCAGCTCAGTCTCTTAAATAGCACCTTCTCAGAGTGGATCAACCAGTTTGCTGCTGACAACCAAAACCGGCTGCTCACATGCTCAAGAAGGACCATCAGCCTAACAATGGATCATTAGCACACTGATGGCTGTTTACTGTTCACAGAGGGCTGAGTGATACTAGCAATCACAGCATTGTAAGAGGGGGACAGTTGAACCCGGAGGCCTCCACCCCTGTTTAATGATGGACAATTTATTTTCACAAAGATGGCCTCCTTTACTCCTTTACTTGGTTGATCCACTCTGAGAAGGTGCTATTTAAGACACTGAGCTGAATACAGCACCTCAGATTGAGGAAGTCTCTTGGATGAAAGACGAAACGTTTCTACATGTTTTTGCTTTGTTTTGTTTTTTTGAATGTCCAGAGGACCAGATTGAACTTTTTTGGATAAAAACATTAAGGTTTACCTGCATTCCCTGTTCAATTCCAGTCCAGAAAAACAGTCATCTCAATGACTACAAACATTCAAATCCTTCAGCGACAGGAGACATCGGCACACCGCTCGTTTCCTTACATATTTATAATTTTCAGTTTACACAATAAAATGCTGTTCGACATAATGTTTTTATGCTACTAGTGCTTAGTGTCTATTTAGTGGATGTTTTTCTTAGTTCATATCTTAGATCTTATTACTGTTTTCCTTTTACATTTTATTGTTGGATGTAACTGGGACCCTGTGTACATAATTTCGTTCCACTACATGTACCACATGGCAATGACAAATAAAGAGCCTTGAATCCTTGAAAATGTAACAAAACGTGGTGTATCTTCATGCCTAATTAAACCAAATGAAAGCAACACTTAAACCTTACAATTAAGGTAGTGTTCATTTACTTGTATGTGTGTGCGGGCCTATGAGCTGTCATTTACCACTAGTTACACAGAGATGATAATTATTCATCTTCATAACAAGAAGCAGCCCTGAAAAAAACAACGCTCAGACTTTCTTATTTCATATCTTGTTCTTTTTGTTGTGGCCACAAATAAACCTTTAAAATTACTACTGCCCGTTTTACTTACATGCTCCAACTTAACTTGTTACAGCATAAAAACTCTAAAATAAATAATGGGATAGGTTTCATTAACTTTAACTGAATTTATCATTCGTCTTCATTTTGCAGAAATACAGTACATTACTGAATTTTCTTACCTCCCAGTACCAGGCTAGATTAACTCACTTCTCCAAATGCAGCTATTTGTTTTTCTCTGTTTGTTAATTATTTTATAAATGAAACATTATTTGGTTAGTACATAATTTAAATTTCAGACATATTACCTGAAAGGCAAATAAAGAAGACAAATAAGTGCATGTAAATGTTGAAAAGTGATTGTTTTTTACCTGTGAGTAGGTGACATGTCCGCCTGTGATGCTCTCTGTGATCGAGCAGTTCACAGACTGCAAGTCATAATCGTATCCTTCAAAATCAAGGTCAAACAACAACGCCTCCTGCGGAGATCCTGAAGCACAACGGTTAAATGTTGTTGACGAGCGCACACCTCTACTTACATACAGGGACAAGCATACGGCACCAAACTGTTGAAACTTGATAGAAGTTTAAACAAGTCTCACCCTTCTGGATGAAAATGAAGAGCAGGATCCACAGTGTGGGCTTGGTGTTCATGACGGGACTCGGTTGTTGCTGGTTTTTTTTGTCTTTAAGTGTCAAAAATCACAACCAGAGTATCTGAATCGAACTGCAGCCAGCTGCTATATTTGATGACAGGTTACCCATTAACGCAGCACCACCAAACATGGGGCGACAGATTGAGCAACTTGAGGACAGATTTATACTTTCTGTTTTGGTAGCACTACCTCTTTCTCAAGCTTCAGGACTCTGTGAAGTCCAACAGCTTCCAACAAGTATCTCAAATACTGCGTGAGGGATTTTTTTGTTTTTCCCCCCCACTCAACTAGATTGCATCCACCAGTTTTGCAGTTTCTAATCTTTCAATTGCTTCAGCACTTCTCCCAGGCGTTTACCATTCCCCCACCTTTAGCTTCAGGTTGATGTTACTGCAGTTTCTGTGCAAAATCTTTTTTTTTTTCAATTAAAACAAAATGACTCAGATTGTTGTGTTTTGGCCAGGAGATTAAAGTGGTCTGCATGGCTGCTCATGTTTTCTTTTTGAGTGTTTCAATTAAACATTTCAGGAGATTTAAAGATTGTTATGCAGATTATAGAGACTTAACAGGGACACCCCCCCCCCCCACTCCTCCAGCTCAGTCCTCACACATTACTTTGTCCCTCTTCCTCCTCAAGGCCAAGTCCTCTCAGGTGACTCGGCTTTGCTCAGCAACGAGAAGAAGTTTCTAAAACTTCTTTGTAACCGGTCTCATGCACTTTTAAAAAACAAGAGAGACAGAAACAGATGAAGCCATTTGTCCTGAACCAGACAGAAGGACAAGAGGCAGCCCTCGCAGACATTTTGACAACTGGACTTTTTTTTCCCGCAATGTGAGTTATACAGATTTTAGTTCATTTTTGTGTGGATTATATTGATGGACTTGCAGCAAAGAACTGTGTTTAAAGGATCATGTTTACACAGCTTTGGTGGAGATTTACGAAATGGACTACAAGACGATTCAGAAATCCGTCTTTAAACCATCCTTGAAAAGAAGCAGCTCTCTTCACGATGTCCTCCAAGATTTATTTATCCAAACGTTGGACGCATAGATGAAGAGGAGTGTTGACCCTCTGCTTTTCCTGAGAGATTAAAGATGTCTGACCTCAGCCAAGTCTCCATTTACTCAGACTCCTCTGACATTTACAAGGTGAAGAAGAAATATCAGACACACACACACACATAAATTAATTTCAAAATCATTTTAAATGAAGAGTTCCTTTTATCTGGAAACTTCACAGCTTAAATTCAAACCTTTATGAATTTGTCTTAATGCCTGAATGGGCCTAAAACTATGGAGAAATAGTCTCATAATAATGACAACAGTGTGTGTAATCTGGGCTAATTAGTGAATTTTGATGCATTTATCAAGCAATCTGAGCATGTGTGAAACAAAAAATGAACAAGTGCTGATTTCTACGTACACATTGTTGTATTCAACATTACAAATGTGACAGTTTTCACACTTTGAAAGGTGCCTGCTCAGGGAAACGTTAGATGCATGTATGCATGGAGTCACGTAGACCGAGTTACATCGGAGCACAAACCAACCTTTGTGTGAACACAAATACATGCTGCGTTTAAAGACCGGTAAAAAGCTGTGTACGTTAAATTACCTGATTCATACATGTTTATTATATACATCCCTTTAATGTGTCTTTTATGACTGAGCTGTCTGCTGGTTTGTGCACGAATACATCTCAGTCCAAGTGAGTCATGCCTTCTGTACATTTATTTAACAAGTCACATGAACGGGTCACTTTTGTAAGGTTGGGCCAAGTAGGTATCTGGGGTAAAAACCTGTACATACAAAATAACATTTGTTGACAACAATGTTTTAAGTTTGTAAAGTTGCTGTTCGTCAAATTGATATGTGTGAATTACAATACACATTTTGGAATTACAAATAAACATAAATTTTGGAACTAACTATTCATCTTTACAAAGTAACGCCATTTGTTTTTGCAAAGTGTGGCGAGTCTTTTTTATTATCCTAGCTGAAGTCCCTCTGCCAGTTCTAACAGGTCTTACAAGCGTTATCGGATTTTCAGAGGATGAGATCATTTTGGTTGCCGTGAAAGCAGATCTGTAAAAGCCTTGAGGTCGAGAAGTTACAGAGGGCAGTGGTGACGGATGAAGCAATCCCGAGTTACTGTAACATCGGGAAGAAGGAAGCCAGAGAAACAGCAAGAAAAGAAAGAGGAAACAGAAGTTGTGGTTATCAGTGTCGGGCTGTGACCCAACACGGCAGGTCTAACCTCAGATGGTAGTGGCTGCGTGGAAACCTCAACCCTCAGCCATCCAATAAATCTAAAAAAGAAAAATCTGTTTCAACTCTACAGAAGAAAAAAGAGGAACAAGATGTGTCCTCCAAACTTTTACACCCACTGCTTGAAACACACGTATCACCGACCAGACGGTTTGATCTGTTTGATGGTTGTTGTGCTTTTCCCAGAATGTGTTTTGTAACCCTGCCTTTGAGCTGGAGGAGGAGCGAGAGGAGAGGGTGGAGGGATTCAGGACCCCCTCATCAACCCCTGAACCAGTCAAACCACCAGCTGCCAGTGAGTCAGACCGCTTCACTCTAAACATCAAGATACTTTGGGCCTAAAGTGTGACTCAGTTTCTAAACGATGTTAGTTCAGCTATTCATCTGTGTATAAAAGTCAAAGTAGTGTTCCTTGAAGGAACGCCTGAGTTTTAACCTGTTGGAAATGTGGTGCATGAGTTGGAGACGGCTCTCAGCTACTACCACACACACTTTAAGCTCAATATTTTTAACAAGCGTACATCACACTATATGCCCGTCGACAATTTATTATACAGCAATCTGTAGCAATGGCCCAGACAAGCAAAGACATTTGACCTTGATTTGTGGCCTTGAGCGTGGAATGTATGCGACACTCTGCCTGGTGATGATGCATACGTCTTTGAGGTTTTGTTAAATTGTCTGGAGTGGATCACAACTTACAGACAGGACAAGAGCAAGTTTACTGACAGATGGAGACGATACCATGCGGTTGTCTTTCGACAGGCGTAAATGATTGTTACAGCCATTTTTCTTTTTTCCAAGGTCACAGAACTGTGGCAGCCATCTTGAAATGGGTTGACTCCAAAAACAAATCAGTGGTGGATTTTATGTCAAACGATTACTTTCTGGGTATTTTATTCACATCTGAAACAATTCATGAGATAGTTTGCTAACAGAGACAACACGTGCATGTGCATGCAAGTACAATGACATGGTCGCCCGTCTTTCATGGCGGCAGGTGATCATGGCGCTCATGTTATCGTCTGTATCTGTAAGTTGGCTGTTTATTTCTGAACCAGAGAACAAAGTTAACAAAAATTCTAAAAGTAATCATTAGATGTACATGTCCATCTTGGGGAGTAAATCACATTCAAGATGGCCACCAGCTAATCAACCTTAAATGCAAATATAAAATATTAGCCATGTGAATGGTGTGAATGACAATAATGACCCCTTGACCTTGACTTTAATTTTGACCCATGTTGATAAGGGTTGGTGTTGTAGTAGCTGAGAATTGTCCCCAATACACCCCCCACCCACCCAGAGCTCTAACAAGATTTTAGTTTAAATTTGGTGTGAAGGCAGCGGGTGATATGCATTCCTTCAAGGAATGCTAGTTTTATTATGTTTATTTTTTTTATAGTTGCTGTTAGTTTTGTTGTGTGATTTAATCTTAGTCCCTCATTTGGAAGCATTACTTTCTACGGTTTAAATATTTCCAACAGTGAGGTCATTGATGGTTTTAGATTATTGTTTAAACAAATTTATCCCAAACAGCTTGTATAAAAACAGGGACACGTTTAACATTCATTGTTTTTGTTGACAATGTGGAGGCTGTTGAATTTAAAATCCTACAGGAACGCTCAAAGTTTGCTCTTATTTTTCTAACAGCTCATACATTATAAACCTCAGATGTTTATATTTTTTGAAATGTAGCGTTTATTCATGTATATTTTACTTGTAGAAGCAGACCATCCAAACTTTTGATCTAGACTCTTTATAAGCAGCCTAAATATAATAAATTATGTTTTAATCATGTTTATATAAAATATGTGGTTTATATTTTGTTGAGCCACGAGGTTTTGAGATTAAACACAAACTTACTGCGTTTATATTCTGTCCTTCAGGCTTTGGTTGTGGATTTTTAGAAGCGTGCTGGATGCGTCTGCGGGGCCCTGGTCGTAGCTGGGGGGTAGTGGTGGTCTCTGCTGCCGTCCTCCTGGTGGTAACCCTGGCTCTAGCCCTGGCTCTCATTCTCACTCGTAAGTCCCTGTTGCACCTAAAATCACTCTTTATGAAGGAAATTTAAATAAACTACAGAAAAGTAATTTCCTGGCAGCACGGTGGATCAGTTGGTAGAGTTGCTGCATCTCAGCGAGAAGGTCGCCGGATCAAATCCCAGATGGGGGCCTTTCTGGGTGGAGTTTGCATGTTCTCTCCGTGCATGCGTGGGTTTTCTCCGGGTACTCCGGTTTCCTCCCACAGACCAAAAACATGCATGTTAGGCTGATTGGTAACTCTAAATTGTCCCTAGGTGTGAATGAGAGAGTGAATAGTTGTTTGTCTCGTTTGTCTCTATGTGTCCCTGTGATGGACTGGAGACCTGTAAAGGGTGCCCCCCGCCTCTCACACAGTGACAGCTGGACATGAACACCAGTGACCCCCGTGACCCGAAAAGGAAGAAGCGGGTATAGATGATGGATGTCATTTCCTGTAAAAATACAGCATGAATGCTTATTGCAGTAGGATTTTTGCTGAAAGCTGCTGAAGAAGCTGAACCCAGGATGAAAGGGTTACATCACTAAACTGTTAATGGGAGTTGAATTTAAACAGCTACTGGCTGAAAGAAGGAAAATAAAAACTGCAAATAGCAGAAATGAGTAGGAAAACTACAAAACCGGATTCCAAAAAAAGTTGGGACACTAAACAAATTGTGAATAAAAACTGAATGCAATGATGTGGAGGTGCCAACATCTAATATTTTATTCAGAATAGAACACAAATCACAGATCAAAAGTTTAAACTGAGAGAATGTATCATTTTAAGGGAAAAATCTATTGTTTCCAAATTTCATGGCGTCAACAAATCCCCAAAAAGTTGGGACAAGTCCATTTTTACCACTGTGTGGCATCCCCCCTTCTTCTTACAACACTCAACAGACGTCTGGGGACAGAGGAGACCAGTTTCTCAAGTTTAGAAATAGGAATGCTCTCCCATTCATGTCTAATACAGGCCTCTAACTGTTCAATCGTCTTGGGCCTTCTTTGTCGCACCTTCCTCTTTATGATGCGCCAAATGTTCTCTATAGGTGAAAGATCTGGACTGCAGGCTGGCCATTTCAGTACCCGGATCCTTCTCCTACGTAGCCATGATGTTGTGATTGCTGCAGAATGTGGTCTGGCATTATCGTGTTGAAAAATGCAGGGTCTTCCCTGAAAGAGATGACGTCTAGATGGGAGCATATGTTGTTCTAGAACCTGAACATAGTTCTATGCATTAATGGTGCCTTTCCAGACATGCAAGCTGCCCATGCCACAAGCGCTCATGCAACCCCATACCATGAGTGATGCAGGCTTCTGAATGGAGCGTTTATAACAACTTGGGCTATCCTTGTCCTCTCTGGTCCAGATGACACGGTGTCCCAGTGTTCCATAAAGAACTTCAAATCGTGACTCATCTGACCACAGAACAGTCTTCCATTTTGCCACACTCCATTTTAAATGACCCCTGGCCCAGTGCAAACGTCTGAGCTTGTGGAGCTTGCTTAGAAATGGCTTCCTCTTTGCACTGTAGAGTTTCAGCTGGCAACGGCAGATGGCACGGTGGATTGTGTTCACTGACAATGCTTTCTGGAAGTATTCCTGAGCCCATTCTGTTATTTCCTTGACAGTGGCATTCCTGTTTGAGGTGCAGTGACGTTTAAGAGTCAGAGAGTCAGAGTCAGAGTTTCTTTATTGTCATTCGCACCTCATGTGGTACATGTGGTGGAGCGAAATTATGTACGCAGGGTCCCAGTTACATCCAACAATAAAATGTATAAGAAAAACAGTAATGACATCTAAGATATGAACTAAGAAAAACATCAACTAAATATACACTAAGCACTCATAACATAAAACATTGAACATCAGCACAAACATGAACATGAGTCTGTGAGCAGATGTGCACGCATGAACACATCAACATTGAAACAGATCAGCAGCAACATGAAACAGATCAGCAGCAACATGATATGGTTTTTCACAGTGATTATTCTAGTTAGAGATTCATGAGTCTAACAGCATCAGGGTAGAAGCTGTTCCTCAGTCTAGTGGTTCTACACTTAATGCTCCTTAACCTCCTTCCTGAGGGGAGTGGGGCAAAAAGTGTGGACCCGGAGATCACGAGCATCCAGTAGAGTTTTACGGCCTTCACCCTTATACGCACAGCGATTGTTCCAGATTCTCTGAATCTTTTGATGATGTTATGCACGGTTGATGAAGATAACTTAAAAGTCTTTGCTATTTTACGCTGGGTAACACCATTCTGGTATTGCTGCACTATCTTTCTGTGCAACAATGGTGGAATTGGTGATCCTCTTACCATCTTGGCTTCTGAGAGACACTGACACTCTGAGAAGCTCTTTTTATACCCACTCATGTTGTCAATTGACCTAATTAGTGTTAATTGGTCTTCCAGCTGTTCGTTATATGCTCAATTTCCTTTTTCCAGCCACTTATTGCTACTTGTCCCAACTTTTTTGGGATTTGTTGACACTGTGAAATTTTGAATCAACATATTTTTCCTTTAAAATGTTACATTTACTCAGATTAAACTTTTGATCTGTCATCTATGTTATATTACGAATAAAATATTGACATTTGCCATCTCCACATCATTGCATTCAGTTTTTATTCACAATTTGTTTAGTGTCCCAACTTTTTTGGAATCTGGTTTGTACAATAGACAGAGAGGATGAATAGATTTTAAAAAGCTGAAATTGGCAAAAGACAAAAAAGCTAAAAAATATATATTTTGCAGAGGAGGAAGGAAAAAGCATAAAGTTGAAATTATACAAAATAATCAAAAGGTAGAATTTAGCAACAACAAAGAAAAGGTAAAAAGGTAGTAAATAGGCTAGTTGACAGAAAAATATGGTAGCTGGAAAGACAGAAAAAAAATGAATTTAGAAAAAAAGCTGAAATGAGCAGAAATTTTTGAATTTGGCAAATACAAAAAAGCTAAATAAAAAAATGGCTTAAATTAGCAAAAAGCTGTTGGGAGGATCATAAAACTTTGTTATTATTTCAAAAAGCACAAAGACCAAAATCAGAAAATAAAAATTAAAAAGAAAAAATGCTAAAATTAGCAGAAAAATGGCAAAGTAGATGTAAAAACGAAAAAAGCTGAATTTAGGAGAAAGCAGAAATGAGCAGTAAAAGGTTTGAAACAGCATTGAAGAATGAGAAGAGAGCTTCATTCATTTTCAATGAGAAAAACATGGACCAAAAAAAGCTAAATCGTTTCAAAACTTAAAATTGCACAAATTGCACAGTCACAGCAGGAATGTCTTGAATGAGCTGAACAGTTTGATTTGTGAATTGTTGAAATAGCACAAAAAGTGTGGAAGTAGTTGCGTGCCAAAAAACGTACGGATAAAATATGTACATGAATATTGAGAATGAGAAACATTCAAGCAGGCTGTGGCACAGAGAAGGTGGGCCTGAGATCAGGTCACCGGTTCAATTCCCCCAACAATATCAAATTTTGGGAGGGAAAGTTGAAGCACTCACACCTGCCTTCACCCTCATTTGCCCCACTCTGGGCCCTTGAGCCCGACCATCTGACCCCTTGGGGGCCCAAGATGGAAACTCTCTGCTCCACACAGAGGGCTGTGCTAGCTCGATAGTCTGTGGTTGTGTCAGGAAGGACATCCGGCATAAAAATCAGAAGATGTTCTTCAGTCTTGTGGTTCTACACTTAATGCTCCTCAACCTCATGCATGAGGGGAGCGGGGCAAAAAGTGTGTGCTGGGTGAGTGGGGTCCTTCATGATTCAGGTGGCCCTCTTCCTGCATCTGGAGGTGTAGATGTGTGTGATGGTGGGGAGACTGGCCAACAAACTTGTGTGCAGCCTTCACCACTCTCTGCAAAGCTTTTCTTTCTGCAGCTGTGCAGCCTCCATGCCACATGTTGATGCTCGAGCACAGGATGCTCTCCACTGCACACCTGTAGAAGGAGGTGAGGACTGAGCTTCCCAGACCAGCTCGTCTCAGCCGCCCGAGGAAGTAGTCTCTGATGAGCTTTCTTGATCAGGCTGGTGGTGTTGTTGCCTCAGCTGAGGTTGTCATTCAGGTGCACATCTAAGTACTTGTAACTGGAGACCATTTCCACTGCAGATCCTCCTATGGGGGGGGGGGGTTGCTCCATCTGAAACCCACTACCATCTCCTTCGTCTTCTTCACATTGATGTGAAGGTTGTTCTTCCTGCACCAGCTCTCAAGATGTTCCACCTCCTGCCTGTAGCTGGAATCACCATTGTTTTTGATGCATCCCACCACCGCTGTATCATCTGCAAACTTTACAATATGACAGCCTGGATGAGTAGGTGCACAGTTATACATAATCAGAGTGACCAGGAAGGGGCTCAACACACATCCCTGAGGAGAGCCAGTGTTGAGGGTTATGGTGGAGGAGGAGAAGTTGTGGATCCTCACAGATTGCGGTCTGTTTGTTAAGAAGTCTAGTACCCAGTTGCAAATGGAGGGGCTTAGTCCTAGTGTGAATAGTTTGTCCGTCAGGGTTTGGGGGATCATGGTGTTGAAGGCAGACATGAAGTCCACAAAGAGCATATGGACATAGGAGTTCTTCTGCTCCAGGTGGGTGAGAGCAGTGTGGACCACAGAGGTGATGGTGTCCTCTGTTGATTGATTCTTGTGGTATGCATACTGATGAGGGTCCTCGCTGATGTCGATGGTAGCTTTGATGTGGGTCATGACCAGTTTTTTTAAGCATTTGGAGACTATCAGGGTGACGGCTACTGGCCAGCAGTCATTCAGACCAGTCACTGCAGAGTTCTCAGGAACTGGGATGATGGTGACCGTCTTCAGGCAGGTGGGAACAGTTGCGAGGGTGAGGGAGGAGTTAAAGATGTTGGCCAGCACCTCACAGAGCTGATCAGCTCAGTCTTTCAACACCTTTCCAGGGATGTTGTTTGGGCCAGTTGCTTTGTGAAGATTAATCCTCCTGAAGGTACTACTTACTTCTGTTGAGGTCACGCTGAGGAACTCCTCTTCCAGTGGTGAAGTGAGTCTTGTGCTGGGTGGTTTATTTGGGTCTTCAAAACAGGCATAGAACCTGTTAAGAGCATCATGCAGTGATGGGTCCCTATGACATTGTGCAGCTCTGCTGTTATAGACTGTTATGCACTTAATGCCCTTAAGAAGGGAGCAGCCAAAAGAAAATAAACATTTTTTTTAGAAACATTCAAATACTCGTTGAATGTTGAAGCTGCACTGACAGGTAGCTTTGTTCAAATAACTGCATGACAGAACTCATGTTTTTAATTGCTGTGTTCCACGAATGAGTCTTCTCCTTTCTAATCATTACCACCGCCACCACCCCTCCTCATTTAGAGATGAATGATCCGGCTGTGGAGGACCAGCTGATGACCACAAACACTCCAGACCTGCAGAGTGCGAGACATGAAGCGTCCCCTCCTTCACCCACAGCCCCCTCAAACAGAAGTCGAATAAAAACCACAGCTTCACCTCAACCTACCAGGATACACCCATCTGAAACAAGTAGGTATCCGCTCACCATCAGAACCATCAGAACCTTTTCCCTCTCGTGAATTTATGATTTCTGCTCCCCAGGCTGCGGGGGTGTTCTGACCGAATCTGAGGGCAGTTTCAGTTCTCCAAACCACCCTGGCTCCTACCCCCTGAACTCACTGTGTGTCTGGGTGATTCAGGTCCCACCTCCCCACCTGGTCCAGATTCATGTCACCTCTCTGGCAGTGGAGGGGCCGTCTCCTTGTCTGTTTGACTGGCTGGAGGTGCAGGAGCTGGCTGAGGGGAGTTCTGTGGTCACCAGGTCAGTCAAGCCCCACTGATGGGGGGTGACATCACCAATGTGCCCTGCATTAAAATAACTAAACTTCCATGTTTTAACAAACATCTGTAAACAAACTCAGGTCAACAAGGTTCTACACATTTCCCATTTTCACATTCCATTTATTTTCACTCAATTTGTAGATCTTCTGTTGATTTTGAAGCGTTTTCATGTGAAACACCTGGTGCAGTTTTATGACCTCTACACTTATGTCAAACTATATGAAGTGAGATGGGATGGTTTTAAAGTTACTACTATTTGTTTTTTATGTGTCTTATGAGTCTAAATCACTAACTACTAGAATAAGTTTTATTTCTTCTTAAATGTTGCCTTTTTAAATGCTATTTTTGGGAAAAATAAATAATACAAATAAAAGTTTCATGTAAAATATATTTTTTAATTAATCAGAATTTTATAAATTCCTTTTACCCAGCATGGTCATCCAACATAAATCATAGTCTCCACAAGTTGTAGCGCTTATCCATAGTCGAGTCGCGGAGGCCACAGGTGCAGGAGAAAACCCAGACCTCCCTCTCCCCAGCAATCCTCTCCAGGACCCCGAGGTGTTCCCAGGCATATCATTGTGTACCCAGGAAGATACACAATCCCTCCAGCACATTCAGAGTCTTCCCCGGGGCCTCTTCCCAGTGGGATGTGCCAGGAAAACCTAACTGGAAGCATCCAGGAGGCATCCTAATCCGATGAACCATCTCAAATTACTCCTTTCGGTGTGAAGGAGCAGCAGCTCTATGTCAAGCTCCCCCCAGATGACAGAGCTGACTGAGCCCAGCCACCCTATGAAGGAAGCTCATTTCAGCTGCTTCTATCCAGGATCTCGTTCTTTCGCTCTTGATCCAAACCTCATGACAACAGGTGAGGAATGGAATGTAGACAGAGCAGTAAATCAAGAGAGTAAACACAATTTACTGTATTTATTCACCACCGCAACCAAAGCAACACGAGTCCTCATTACTGAGGACAAGGCTCCGATCCACTCCATCTTACCATCTCTTCTGAACAAGATGCCAAAAATACTTACAATCCTGCATCTGAGGCAAAGATTCCTCCCAAAAATTATAGTTTAGTCTGATTTAAGACTTCAAACATGGGCCTTGATAGCTAAGATTAATGGTGTTGCACTTTCATTGATGACATAACAGAATAATTAAGCAGTCACATCAATTTCCTTATTTCAGTTTCTGGAAGTTTGTAAAGTTGGTAAAGAAATGAAGAATTAAAGGCTTCTTATGGCAGAATGCTAAACTAAGATCACCTCACATAGAGAAATTGTGTTTTTGTCAAATCTTGAAAATAATGTTAAAAGCTATCTCACTCTCAGTAGGTGGAGATGATTGTCAGCTACTACCACATCTCAGTTTAGCTCTATATTTGTCAAACTGACTGAATTATACACACGTTTATGCTGTGGTGGCCATCTTTAATTGGATTGATTCTTAAAGGTGGTCAGTTGTAGATGTTCATGCATCAATTACTTCCTGAAAGTCTCAGTAGGATCCATCCACCGCTTCAGATGTTTCTCAGAGATGACTCAGTTAATGCTAAATTTATAGTCAAACATCTCACACAATAGGTGGCACTTGTTGTGAAAGAGCTCAGATACTACCTCACCAAATTTTAGCACAATGTTTAAAATTGAGATATATATATATATATATATAAATTGCAAGTAAGAGAGTGTGGGATCACAAATGCTTTTCTTGAATTGGTTTCATTTTTCTCCATGTTTACTCAGATCTGGAAAATACTCAAATCAAGGTTTGTACTTTTCAAGATTGCGCAGGAACCCTGAGTTGTGTTTGAAAACAACGTGACTTTCCCTCAATTCGCCGACAGATGGTGGTACAGCACGTTTGGAGACCTCCAAACCATATTTAGGACTTCACGGAACATTTTGAATGCCAAGAATACTTTGACCCCTCTGTCTACTAACATTCTGGGAAAATGTTGCAACACAATTGATCAATTTCTGTAAATTACACAAGCCTGGCCTCCTAACAATTCAAAGTTTCAATGTCCAGGCCTCAAGCCTGGTCTGTAGCTGTACTCCAGACCCCCCCCAAAAAAGTGCACCGGTTATTCTAATATATTTTTATTTTTTGGCAGATTTTGTGGTAACGTCGCTCCACCAACTGTTAACACAAACAGCAGCACGGTGTGGGTCACCTTCCACTCAGATGGCAGCATCGCCAGCGACGGCTTTGCTGCACAGTACAGAGCCATGCTGCCCGGACACGGTCAGTACTCGTCTGCACATCTGCTCATACTCGTGTCCTTGTACATCTGTATTTAAGTTTCTGTTGTACATTTCCTCAGAGAGCTGCGCCAGAGAAGAGTTCATGTGTGATGGCGGTCGCTGTCTGCTGCCTGTGTCCGTGTGCGACAGCCATCCAAACTGCAACGACCAGAAAGATGAGGCAAACTGCACCCACAAACACACCGGTGAGAAAACGAGCTGAAGTCGAGTCCAAGCAGGGCATGACAGTAAATGCATGAACAATGCTGCTTCACAGGATGTGGTGGCAAGATGTTGGGGCCATCTGGTTCTATGGCGAGCCCAAACCACCCCAAGCCTTACCTTCACCAACAGGTAGAGCCGAACGGACTCAACACAACCAAACACACACCCAGACCAACAATAAGAGGAGAGTGCTGCCATTTTTGTGTTCCTTTCAGTTGTGTATATGGTATATATCTGTTGACGAGGGTCACGTCATCACGCTGAGCTTCAGAAACTTCAGCCTGGAGACTCAGGAGGTGTGTGAGTTTGACTACGTGGAGGTGCACGACAGCAGCAACACCGGAGCTGGAAGGGTCTTGGGGAGGTGAGACATCCCACAGTCACATAATCTGTGTGAGAACTCATTTTATGTTTCATTATCTGTGAAATAACATCACTTGCCTGACTCTTTGAATGGTGTTCGTTGTGGGTCTGAAAAGTGAAATGAGTCTTTTTGTGTTGGTTACTGTAAATATTCAGTTTTATAGTCTTCTTTTGCCTTTGTGCCAGATTTTGTGGGACCACCGTCCCACCAGACCTGACCTCCTCTGGCCCCCACATGACACTGGTGTTTGTGTCTGACGAGGGAGTGGCCGACAGCGGCTTCAACGCCACTTACCAGGCTGTATCCGTACTCGACAGTGAGTTTTTACTTTGGGTCTTTCAGTGTGCAGTTTGCATGTCCTCTTTGTGTTTGCGTGGGTTTTCAGGAACTCGTTTCCTTCCGCAGCCCAAAAGCCTGCATGTCAGCCTGATTTATGGCCCAGGCCTTTGTTATAAAAGTGATCCCAATGAGATTTGCTTGGTTAAATAAATGCTAATACTCCTGAATGTATCCCACCGCCAGCCCAAGATGAAAGCACAGCTCTGTTTGCCTGTCTCTGTGCTCTTCTGTTGTGTTAGCAAAAGATCTGATGAAGCACATAACAAATATTTAATGAAACTCAAGACAGTAATAGTTGGATGTACATCTGCAATCAAACTTAAAAGTCTTTGACTCGTCAGTCTTACAGATGAGATAAATGTGGTGTGGTAGTAGCAGAGTCATTTCTACATGCACTGTGCTCAAAGTAACTGATCGTGTGAGTTCTGCCATTAACTTTTGCATCAACCCTGTTTTGAGTGCAAAACATCTGATAACCCACTGGACAGATTTAAATAAAACGTGAAAGTAATCCGAGGATGGAGCCAAATCCATTCAGATGGCCAACAATGGCATTACCTCCGTCAAACTTAAGAAATCTTTTTCCATAGGGACATGTGGTCCAAACCAGTTTACCTGCAGAACCGGGGAGTGCCTCCAGCAGCAGTGGTTGTGTGATGGATGGAACGACTGCCCCGATGGAGCAGATGAGCAGGGCTGCGGCAACTCCACCTACCATCCCTTCAGTGAGTCCACGTTGGCTCTGATTACAAGTTCAGCAGGTCTGGACTCCTCTACCACTGAGAAGATTACAGGATACAGGAGGAAGTCTGGTTACACTCAATTTAAATGTATCCATTAATAAATCACTGGTTCTTTGCCTGCTGTTTAAATCACTGATATTTTCAGCGTCATCGTGCGAGATCATAGAGGTGGAGATGTGTCAGGGCCTCAGTTACAACCTCACGTCATTCCCAAACATCTGGCTATCCATCGCTGACCAGAGAGAGGCTGCCATGCTGCTCCGACAGTATCGGGTAAAATCTACACTGACCCATCTGAAGTTTACACGTCAAAACTATTTTAGCAGCAGTTTTAATCAACTGCACCTTGTTTTGTGGCCAGGTGCTCATGGAGCTGGCGTGCTTCAAGCCTCTGCAGAGGCTGGTGTGTGGGATGTTTCTTCCTCTGTGCAGTCCTCAGGGCGGCGTCCTGCAACCCTGCCGCTCCGTCTGCTCCTCTGCTGAGCAGCAGTGCAGCCAGGCCCTCGACCTCTTCTCCTTCAGCTGGCCCTTCAACTGCCACCTTCTACCCGACTCACAGAACCCGACAGAGTGCTCGCAGCCCTGAAGATTTAACTAGAACATACGAAAAGTTCCCACTGTGGCTTTATGGTAAATGGACTGTGCTTATATAGCGCTTTCCTATCTTCTCAAGATACTCAAAGCGCTTTACAATAATCTGTGCCCTCGTTTACTACTCGTCTGATCTCACTACAATTTAAAGCAGGAAGCTCGGACTTGTAGCTCTATCACTTTGATGTAAAAAAAAAAAAAAGAAAAAAGTGAACAGGAAATATCTTTTAAATAAGGTTTATTGCATTGTTGCTTATTTAATATATGTGTTCTATTTCATATAGGCTTCGCCCTTTAAGGCTGTCGCTGATGGTTTATCCCGTTATGCAGAGCATAAGCACTGAAAAAAAATTAGTCCACGCCCACCTGCTGTGTGGGCCCCACCCGGTCCGTATAAATTACGTTAAGAGCGGGAAATCGGCTCCCATTTTTTCTTCAGCGAGCTAATATAGCACTGTCAGAAGAACAAAGAAGATAAATTGTGTAAATGACCAACCTTTGCGAAAGATGCTTGGCCCGGCAGTCGACCTCCGGTCGTCCGGTGAGTTCTCCTCCCCGAGGAGAAGATGACAGCAGTCTTATTCCAAGGTAAGCGTCGTGGAACATTTCCCAGTGACAGGTCACTACACGCTGGACAACGCCATCTTGTGGTTTTCCTCTTATCGCCGACCCTCGGGGCGAACCGGATGGTTCCTCCGGGGCAAGGCGTGCTCAGCTGCAGCCCCGCTGCTCTTTCCCTCCTGGGGAGCGTAGTGTAGGTGGAGGGGGGCTGAGTGAATGCTCACCCCATCCCACCTCGTTTCGCATCGGCGATCACACCGCTCCCGGCCGACGGCGCCCTCAGGGGTTGCCCGGCGGAACCCAGGAGGAGGCTGACATGAAGGGACCCCTTTTTTCTACGTCCCTCGCCTTTTCCCGCCAGTTCGGATGATCGGCGGAAAGGTTATTTTTCACTGGGCTCCACTGTGGCTCACCGTCTTGATCCATACGGCCTCGCGTTCCAACAGGACGTTCCACGGGCGAGGCCGCAGACGGTTCTTTCCTGGTAGATTAGAGGAGTCGGTCCCCAGTCCGCTCCCATCACCAGAGTTGAGGGATTCACCGAGCGGGGCTATTCCTCGGTAACCCCCCCCCTGGAGCCAAGCCTCGCGGAAGCTTCCGGAGCGAAGCTGCCCAGGTCGGAGCAGCGTCCCGTCCCTCCGGAGGAACACAGACGGCGACCACGCTCTCCAATCGAGCCCACCGACGTGTTTTTTCAGGCAGCCGCAGCTAGCAACAACGTGCGCTGCTAGCATATAGCATGTCCAAGGGATTGAAGGCCGCAGACCTGCCTTGGAGACGAAGATCTCCCTCTGTAAGCAGCTGACGCCAGCTCAACATGTGTGCCTCTCCCACGGTTTGCCTTGTCGGGGACTGCAGCGCGGAGGACGATGACCCAACGATCCACCTGGCTTCGTTACTCCCCTCGCTGCCGGAGAATCTGCACAAGACCTGATGAAGCCCATCGCGGACGCGCTGTTCAGAGCAGCTTCAAACCATGCTGGCGAAGTGAAACAGTCGGAGGAGGTGCCAAAAGCTGTTCGCCACCTCATCAAGCCGCGCGGCCCACCCCGTCCCCGCTGGAGGGACCGTCGCGAGCAAGCTTCGACTTTTCCACGGCCGCGGCTCTCGCTGAGTTCCACCACCAGCCCCGCCCGTCAGAATCCAGCCCTCTGCACTCCGGCAGCCTGCAGCTCAGCGTTTCCCCAGAGTTCGCCTGCAAGACAGCGCTCTGGGCAAACAATCGCAGAGCTCATGAGAGAGAAAGCTCTCAAAATGACGGTCTCCGGAGGGTGTGTGTAAAAGTGACACGAAAGTTGAAATAAATCATCATTAATGATCCAAGTGTCTGTTTTTTAGCCAGTCTGTAAGCCCGGATCAGCTCACAGCGGCCGCACACATAAGAGCGCACTCGTGGGATGAAACAGCCCCACACACGAGCCGGTGTCCTTAAATAAAGGTTTTTAACTCACCGTCGCTCTAAGACATGACGAGTCGATCACAGAACAGCCTCCACACATGAGCCGGTGTCCTTAATTAAAGGTTTTTAACTCACCGTCGCTCTAGACATGACTAGTCGATCACAGGACAGCCTCCACACATGAGCCGGCGTCCTTAATTAAAGGTTTTTAAACTCACCGTCGCTCTAGACATGATGAGTCGATCACAGAACAGCCTCCACATGAGCCGGTGTCCTTAAATAAAGGTTTTTTAAACTCACCGTCGCTCTAGACATGACGGGTCGATCACGGCACAACGGTAAGCGAAAATAACTCATTACCAACTAGAACTGCACGATCCTCACTCAAGCGGTGTCAACTCGCACTCGTGGGATGGAACAGCCTCCACATGAGCCGGTGTCCTTAAATAGGGTTTTTAATTCACCGCCGCTCTTGACATGACGAGTCGAACACTAAGATGACAGCCTCCATTCAACGGTGCTGCGTTGATGCTGGCGCACACAGCTGCCGGCGCTAACCAGCTCACATCGGTATAAATGTGGTCCGCAGGCTGGTCCGGGTGGGGGTCCTTCTCTCTCAGCTTTCGGCAGCTCACCGCAGCTTAAACGTGAAGCAGCCGAAGAACCCGGTAATGAGTCTCCCTCCAGCGCGCGCCCCTCCAGCGAGAGCGGCGCGCGTCCCTCCAGAGAACAACGTGTGCTCCCGCGGGGCTAAGCAGCCTTCACTCCAACAGCACGGTGTAAATGAAGTCACGCCCTCCGCCTTTCAACGTTCGCACAGCGACGTCAAACGCGCAGCTCACCGCGTCATCAGCTGTCACACGCTTCGCCTTCAGCTCAAGTCTCGCCCGGGGTCACACAGAAAACATTCCCGCGACGCATGACGGCGGTTGAGGGACGGACTGCTGACAGCCGTACAAAACATGACGCATCATTAACGCACGTTCATCCACGAACGTTACGTAGAGTGGCTAAACATGCTCGCCGTTTTTCAGATGGATGGACAGGGTTTATGCAAATGGTACAAGTTACAGTTTGCAACCCGAACCCCTCCATTCAGAGGAGTTATATAAACGGTCCCGTCATCATCATCAGACTGATTCTCTTCCCTAAATGCAGAAATCCAAGTGTTTTCTGATAAAAGTAATCTACAGAGTTCCCCAAGGGAGAGAAAACACGAGGGTTTTTACTCACGGATCTGAGGGGTGAGACCGTTCTTGGATCTGTTGTTTAACATCCAGAGAACGCATACCGATCATCCTAAAACACAGAGACGAGAGTTTTTTGCTTTACCTGGATGATCTGCTGCTCCTGTCAATTCAGACAGGAGGCGCTGATGCAGGATCAGGTGTTGACATCACACCTGTTAATCTGGGCTTCGCCATAAGTGGAAGGAAGCTCGATTTTCCCGGCCCTGACATTTGTTTTCTGGAGTGGAATTAAATTCAACCACCATGAAAACTCGTTTATCACATGAGACGCCTCTAGAGGTGTTTTTGCACGTCTGCATGTGGATCCAGTAAAACAAACGACGGATGATCATTGTCTTTTCCTCTGTGGAAGCAGACCTCCGACTCTGGGGAAACACCTTGTTTTTCTATCAGAGGGAGTCCCCCTCAGCAGACCCACGTCATGGGTCAGTCTTCACAGACACGTTGCTGTCAGGCTGGGGGGGGGACATACCTATCTCAAGCAGTAGGGGCGCTGTGGCCCCACTACACATCAGCCCACATCAATGTTTTGGAGTGTCGCACAGTACTGAATGTGATTCAACACCTTGCTCCTGTGCTACAGAATCAACACGTGTTGATTCACACAGACATCATGATGACTGCTGCGTACATAACCATCAGGGTATGCGTTCAGCCAGATGTTACACATTGTGCGAAAGCTACTGAGTTGGGTTCATCAAAACCTGCTTTTATTAGAGCGGTTTACATATCCGGTGTTCTGATGTGACGTCCAAGGGCGGCCCACGTTACGTGGACCGGATCCTCCATCCGGATCTGATGTTTCCAGACGCAGCAGAAGTTGGCAAAGCAGCTGTGGACCTGTTTGCGATGCGAGAAGAACGCTCAATGTCAACTACGGTTTTCCCTGAGCCCGCGAGACGATCCATCGCTGGGGGGGGACGCATTTGCTCACAGTCGGTGGCCCAAAACGCTTTTTACGCGTTTCTTTTCCCCCACCTCCTCTGTTTTTTACGGTCCATGAACCGAGTTCAAGAGGAGGGATTGACAGCTCTCCTGGTGGCTCCCGGCGTGTGAACGCACCATGGTTCCCAGGCCTGCAACGTCTGTTGTTGGGTCGCCGTGGAACTGTCATGGAGGAAGGATGCTCTCCTTCAGGCAGGAGGAGCGACCAAGAGTTACCCAGAAATAGGTCAACACCGGTGGGTCTGACCGCTGAGCGGTCCCACTTAGAGGATGGGTCTCCCTCAGGAGATAATGTGCACAATTCAAGATTCACGTGCTGCATCTACCACAGTTCTGTACACATCAAGGGGACGGCTTTTCAGCGCTGGTGCACAGAGAAGGTTTAGAGACCACTTCATGCCTTTTAGGCGGCGTGTTGTTTTTCTACAACAGCTGATGGATAGGGAGTTGGCTTTCAGTACGCTTTAACGTACGATTGCAGCCATCTCTTCCTGCCACAAAGGGTTTGGAGACAGAACAGCTTTTATCACCCGCTGATGAAGCGGTTTCTAAAAGGTGTACAGAGATGTAGGCCTGTTTTCACGCCCACTTGTTCCACAGTGGGTTTAACGCTGGTCCTGCGAGCCCTGATCAAAGCTTCAATTGAGCCTCTGGATCAGGTTTCATTTAAATTCTTGTCTCTTTTAACAGCCCTGTTGCTGGTTTTAACACCCGCTAAGAGGATAAGTAATTATCTGCCCTCTCTGTTGCTTCGTCATGCCTTAGAATTAGGCTGACGGGCAGCTCAGCTGATTTAAGACCAACCCAGCCTTTATGCCTAAAACATCACGAGCTCTTTTAAATCAAGAGTGATATCGTTGGAGGGGTTTTTTCCCTCCCACAGATCAGAAGGGGAAGCATCTGTTCATCTTCTCTGCCCGGTGCAGGCGTTGACGTGTTACGTAACGCGCACAGCTGCAATGCGTTCAAATTCAACAATTGTTTGTGCATTATAGAGATGCTTCTGCAGGTCGCCGTTATCCATCCAGCGCTTGTCACACTGGCTGTGTGAGGCCTTTTCTGAAGCCTACAGAGCATCAGATTTAGGGCCTCCTGTCAACCTCTAAGCACATTCGACCAGGGGTATCGCATCTTCGACTGCTCTGCATAATGGTATGTCAATGTAGGACATTTGCACTGCGGCTGCATGGTCAACACCCTGCTCATTTATTCGCTTTTACCTACGTGATGTAACGGCTCGTTCCATGACACATTCTGTCCTTAGTGCTCTAACAGAATGAATATTGTTGTTCTCATGGAACTCTGTTTAAGCTCACTTCTGTCTGCATGCATTACAGTGTGAGATGTTGTTATCAGTCACAGTTGTGTCTGTGTTTCTGGTTCTATTGTCACTAATCAGTTCATGATTATTGTTACCAATCAGTTCATTTGATTATTTATCAATTCATGGACATTAATCTGTTTATACTGTTCAGCCATGAACCAGTTGGTTCATGCCCCCCTCCCCCCCTCTTTTCAACTTCCTCTTCCCGTTGAAAGTTTTTCCGGGGTATTCATGCTTGTCAGAACGCATAGTTACACAACATGCGTCTGTGCATGGCACATAATTACGCGATGCGTAGTTTATGCACACGGGGAGCTGAGTGACAAGACGTTTTTTGGGCAAGCTTCCGCTTCTTACTGTGTTCGAATGGACCCAGTGAGGCGAGGACCACATCCGCTTCGCCCTTAAACCATCAGCGACAGCCTTAAAGGGCGAAGCCTATATGAAATAGAACGTTGGTTACGTACTGTAACCCCAGATTCTATGAATATAGGCGTAGCCCTTTAAGCGTCGGGCCTCACTGGCTCCTAAATGGCTGAAGAAAAAGCTATTTTGGGAGCCGATTTCCCGCTCTTAACGTAATTTATACGGACCGGGTGGGGCCCACACAGCAGGTGGGCGTGGACTAATTTTTTTTCAGTGCTTATGCTCTGCATAACGGGATAAACCATCAGCGACAGCCTTAAAGGGCTACGCCTATATTCATAGAATCTGGGGTTACAGTACGTAACCAACGCTTTGATTACTTCAGTGTTTACAGCCGTAACGCCCTGATCTAAATAAAATAAGATTGATGTGATCTTACTGATGCTGTAACCTTGATACAGCTGGTGGCTTTAATCGATTCATCACAGACTCAGTGCATAAAGACAACAAAGAGCTTTCTCCTTAATCTAAAAATAATTTAAGAAAATAAAACTAGACAAACATACTTAAAATATTTATTTATATAAATAAAAACTCTTTCCTTTGATTTCTGGTGTGATTTTGATACATGAATGTGTCTTATTAATACTTCAGGCGCTGAAAACCTTCAAGTCTGTGACGGTGCTTCTATGGATGTACAACAAGTTTGAGGCTTTGGTCCAGAGCAAATGCAGTCAGGCCCCACACCCGATATTTTCCGTTATGAAACACAGGCAGCGTGTATCCATACTTATCACCGCTGCGGAAGTTTGTGTAACCACGGTTCTGAGGGTTACACAGGTGGGACAAAGACAGGGTGAAGATGTCCTCAACCTAAAAAAAACCAACAAAAAAAAAACTTTAGTTTTAATACAAAAAAATTGTTTATTCATCTCACTCCGTCCTCACACTAACTACCTCCATGTCCTCTCTAACTGCATCCATACAGGTCCTTCTAAAAAAATTAGCATATTGTGATAAAGGTCATTATTTTCCATAATGTAATGATAAAAATGAAACTTTCATATATTTCAGATTCATTGCACACCAACTGAAATATTTCAGGTCTTTAATTGTTTTAATACTGATGATTATGGCATACAGCTCATGAAAACCCAAAATGCCTGTCCCAAAAAATTAGCATATTTCATCCCACCAATGAAAGACAAGTGTTTTTAATACAAAAAACGCCAACCTTCAAATAATCATGTTCAGTTATGCACTCAATACTTGGTCGGGAATCCTTTTGCATGAATGACTGCTTCAATGCGGCGTGGCATGGAGGCAATCAGCCTGTGGCACTGCTGAGGTGTTATGGAGGCCCAGGATGCTTCGATAGCGGCCTTAAACTCATCCAGACTGTTGGGTCTTGCGTCTCTCAACTTTCTCTTCACAATATCCCACAGGTTCTCTATGGGGTTCAGGTCAGGAGAGTTGGCAGGTCAATTGAGCACAGTAATACCATGGTCAGTAAACCATTTACCAGTGGTTTTGGCACTGTGAGCAGGTGCCAGGTCGTGCTGAAAAATGAAATCTTCATCTCCATAAATATTTTCAGCAGATGGAAGCATGAAGTGCTCCAAAATCTCCTGATAGCTAGCTGCATTGACCCTGCCCATGATAAAACACAGTGGACCAACACCAGCAGCTGACATGACACCCCAGACCATCACTGACTGTGGGTGCTTCACACTGGACTTCTGGCATTTTGGCATTTCCTTCTCCCCAGTCTTCCTCCAGACTCTGGCACCTTGATTTCTGGCTGACATGCAAAATTTGCTTTCATCTGAAAAAAGTACTTTGGACCACTGAGCAACAGTCCAGTGCTGCTTCTCTGTAGCCCAGGTCAGGCGCTTCTGCCGCTGTTTCTGGTTCAAAAGCGGCTTGACCTGGGGAATGCAGCACCTGTAGCCCATTTCCTGCACACGCCTGTGCACGGTGGCTCTGGATGTTTCTACTCCAGACTCAGTCCACTGCTTCCGCAGGTCCACCAAGGTCTGGAATCGGCCCTTCTCCACAACCCTCCTCAGGGTCCGGTCACCTCTTCTCGTTGTGCAGCGTTTTCTGCCACACTTTTCCCTTCCCGCAGACTTCCCACTGAGGTGCCTTGATACAGCACTCTGGGAACAGCCTATTCGTTCAGCAGTTTCTTTCTGTGTCTTACCCTCTTGCTTGAGGGTGTCAATGATGGCCTTCTGGACAGCAGTCAGGTCGGCAGTCTTACCCATGATTGCGGTTTTGAGTAATGAACAAGGCTGGGAGTTTTTAAAAGCCTCAGGAATCTTTTGCAGGTGTTTAGAGTTACGTCGTTGATTCAGATGGTTAGGTTAATAGCTTGTTTAGAGAACCTTTTCATGATATGCTAATTTTTTGGGACAGGCATTTTGGGTTTTCATGAGCTGTATGCCATAATCATCAGTATTAAAACAATTAAAGACCTGAAATATTTCAGTTGGTGTGCAATGAATCTGAAATATATGAAAGTTTCATTTTTATCATTACATTATGGAAAATAATGACCTTTATCACAATATGCTAATTTTTTTAGAAGGACCTGTACATCTCTTTTGTCTTTTTCCTGGCAGCTGCATTTCTAACATCTTTCTGCCAATATAGCCACTGTCCCTCCTCTGGACAAGTCCAAACCATCTCAGTCTGGCCTCCGTCTGTGGTAGGTTGTTTCCATGACCTTATCACAATCACAGTTGTATCCAGATATGAGGCTAGCATTTTCTTTTTTTTTTTTTTCACCTTTAGTTAACCACCAGGCACAAATATTAAGAACAAATTCTTATTGGCAGTGCTGGCCTGGCAGCACCAACGGGCACCTGTAGGGTCATGGGAAGGGAAACAATACAGTTGGGCAAAACAATAAAATGACAAAATAATAGTAACAAACAAGGCAATCAAATTACATCAACAACCGTTCATTAGAAAAGTTAAATGACAACATTATTAAGCATGAAAACATTTGCAAGTGTCTTTAAAAATGGCTTTTAAATGATTTTTAAAACTAGAAACTGAGACGAGTGAGGTCAGACTCAAAGTTTTTTGAAGCAGATTCCAGTCAGATGGAGCAGCAGAGGCAAAGCCAGACTTGATCTTTAGTTGTTGAACCACAAATACTGAGAGGATCGAGTGTTATACTTCAAAACTGGTGCTAGTTGCAGAAGAGGAGTTACATATGGAGGTGAATAATCCAGCACCGTCTTATAAATGAGGGTAAACCAATGAATTCCACAACAAATATGTAGAGAAGATCATTTAACAGGGTAGAGGTGGCAATGACATGTTCTTAGAGGAACATTTGTAACGGAGCCAATAACTGATCAATTGTGTCCAGCTTACGAAGCACACCCTTAAAATCATGTCTGTAAAAATTTTTTCCAACAGTGGTGTTTCGCAACCAACAAAGATCGATTTCTATACAGACAACCAAGTTTTGCTTTAATCTTAGATTGCAAAACATTAACAAGAAGTGAAAAGGACAGAACACCATCAATCCAAATTCCCAAATATTTATAAATATTTATAATATCACAGTTTACAGTTGTGAAGTCCACCGAGGTGCGTATAGTTTCTCCTCCATGACTGAACCACATAAGTTTAGTTTTCTTGGCATTTAAGGACAATTTAAGTCAGAAAAGGCCTGCTGGATTTCAAGAAAACCACATGCAAGGGACTTCACAACCTCATCTAGAGTAGAACCAAAATCATATAAAATAGTGTAATTGGCATATAAATGAATGGAGGCCTCACTAACAGAATGTGAGATATAATTTATAAATATGGAGAAAAAGAGCTGGACCAAGAGTGGAGCCTTGGGGTACACCTGACACAACCAGAAGAAACTGAAGTATGAGAGTCAACCTTCACTTGCTGCAACCTATTCGGAAGATAATTATGGAACCGAAATTCTAATAAGGTCAAGTTGCTTTAGCAAGACGGAATGATCAGCTGAGTCAAAAGCTTTTGCTAAATCAATGAATATACGGTATACAGTTTAGACAATAGGTACAATATGATTTACAGTCCGATGCAGATGCTATATCATTGAGAAATTTCAGTGCAGCCGTAATGCAACCATGCCCTGAACGAAAGCCAGATTGGATGTTGGACAAAATATTAAAAACCTTCAAATAATGTGTTAGCTACTTATCCACCAGTTTTTTGAAAACCTTTGACACACAAGGTAGAATAGATATTGGCCTATAACTGTTAACATCAGTCTGACTCCCACCCTTAAAGAGATGGTTAACAATAGCAGCCTTCTATTCAGCAGGAATTTCAGCAGTTAAGAAAGAAATGTTAAAAATTCTAGCCAATGGGGCAACAATAAACAGAGCTGCTAACTTTAAAAAAAATTGGAGGTAGCTTGTCCAGTCCAACAGGCTTTTTAGAGTCTAAAGATAGCAATTCCTTCCTGACCTCGTTCTCCGTAATTAAGTGAAAACATATTTTTTGCAAAGGGGAACAAAAGCCAGGTTGAGTTGAGACTGAAAGGCGTCAGAGAATACACAAGTTAATTTCCCTAAGTTTCGAGCTGAAGAGCTGCTATTGAAACAACTGTAATAGCCGTTCTACAAGCCACTACTTTTGTCTCACACTTTGTACCCTGTGGTTTATTTGCAGGAGCATCTTATTTATGTATTTTTTCATAATTTCCAAAAATTATATTTTTATATTTGATTTTGAAAGATTTCCTGCCATCTCTCAGTAGCTTCCTGCCACTGACTAACATTTTCCTTTGACGGAGCTGGGTGGTCGTGGCTCCCTGCACCCCACCCCTCATGGGGGCAGGCATTTGTGAGAGAATGTCGTCAAGTAATCAGATGTACAAGACGATCTTAGCACCAACATAACTGGTTTGTTCCACTTTGGAGTAAGCTGTTGGGGGAAGAATCAGTTTTGTGTTGTGCGTTTCCTTGACTGATGAAGCCTTCTGTATGGAAGGTGAAACGTTTCAGCACAAAAAAGAAACTGTCCAGATGACCTGACTGAAAAATGTTCGACCTTTTGCTCATGGTTTCAAATACCCAACCATAACTCCACCCACTCTGTCATCATGTGACCAGAAGTCTAACCTGAATGACCAACGAGGTACTCTCGAGGAGAGGACCATCCCCCAAGATAAAATGTGAATTAATTTCTTCAGATCTTTCCTGTGTCGTTTATCGTATTTTGCGCTTCATGCACAGACCTATTCATTTGTTGAGCGATAATGGAAAATGCACAGAGAATTTCTTTAGAAGCAGCTTTCATGTTAAGAGATCGGCTGTTGAGGAGGAAAACATAGCTGCAGCCCGTAAGCTGCATCAACGTGCGTCGATGGTCGAGCTTTGGAGATGCACAAGCAGTCAAGTCTGGTACATATTTTAAGAAAAGCTTTAAAATTATTTCTGTGTGACATCTTTGCGTGTCGGAAAATATGCATTTAAATACCGGGTTCTCATTATAAAGTCACAGCCGAACACAAAGTGGAGAAAGGAGTCTCCCCCCCCCCCACCCTTTCCATCATGAGAGCTCAGCGGTGGAGAAGTCGTCAGATTTAGCAGTCAGTCAAGACTGATGCATATTTAAATAAAAGGTTGTTTTTTTTATCTTTCAGTGTACGGTAAATATGTGTTTAAATACCAGTATCTCATTTAAGCTTAAACGGGGTCATTAAACAGAACGGAGGAGCACTATACGAGGGAGGGGCTGTTCCCTCTTCCTTCCTTCCTGCTGCTCATATGAGCAGCGCTGAGGAGAATCATGTCAAATTTATTTAGAAAGTATATTTTAAAAAAACAGCAGTTGTTGACAAAAAGTGTTTACCAATAATAAAAAAAATAATTAAAAAAAAAAAATGGTACTAATTTAATGAATATTTACTGCATTCTACCGGTGCTGTTTGACTTCCGGTCACATGAACTCGATAAGACTTATTTTTACCGGTAAATAATTATTTGAATAATTTTAGTTACGTAGGTGTTTGGCACTATTCTGTCCAGTGATTATGCTTAGATAGTTATTGTGTTCATTCTGAAAGTATAATGGCTGTAACCATGAGTCAGACAGTGAAGCTTCATGATGATCTTGCAGTCGAACGTGTGTTGAAAGCTTGCTTCTGTACATTCTGTGAAACACCATCTGGTGGCTCGTTCTTTTACTACAAGGAAGCTGCACGCAGACAGAGCAGGCCGGGGCACAGTTCCTGACGATCAATGGTGGATGCCCATGGCTAAATAACCCGAGCGTCTTACTTATGTACGGCAAAGTGCGGCTTAGAGACAGGTGCGTTTTAAAAGTCAGACAATTACGGTAGTCGATATAGATGCTGGAACACCACCAGAACCTGTCATTAAAAATATTTACTATTAGTTCTTTATTGGTGACTACAGTAGCCCCTATTATAAGGATGGCAAAACTGAGGGCTTATTTTCCATTTGTCTTGCTGTTTTCCAAAATAACTGTGGAGTAGAAGCACTTTGTGTAAACTGTTCTCTGAAATAAACAGACTTCGACTGTCGCACTGCTTGTGTTGCTGTATTTCGAATTTGGCAAAAAGCAAGCTTACCACGCTCCAACCCCGAATGCTATGCTTTACACCACGCAGTATTCGTCTTCCGCAACAAAGTCGCCAAGTCAGGAGACAACCATGGGCTAAAATGTTTTATTCACATTCGTTTTATCGGAGCATGATCATCAATCACTGTATGGAAATAAGTGTTTAAACAACAACCATGCGTCCTCCACTGTGGGGACAAGGTCAGTCCTGCTCCAATCAACCTTAGTGAAGACATGCAGAAAAGTTTGATCATTAAAATTTTTAAGAATTCATTTCTGAGAAATGCATCCAGGATGGTCAGTCCTGCTTCAAATAATCCACAGCAAAGCCATGCTGGTGCCTGCAGACCCCATACCATAGATATGCTGCCTCCACCATAATAAAGCATCTGGACTTGCAACCTGTCCAGGGTTTACCTTGCCTCTCGCACAGTGATGGCTGGACATGGGCACCAGTGACCCCCGGAACCCAGAATGGAAGAAGCGGGTAAAAGATAATAGATGGATAGATGGACGGACTTTGCTACCCAAGTTTTGTGCCTGCTCAAAACTGTCCATGATCTACCACAAATAATGGAAAGCAGGTTATGTTGACAGCTTTCTGCTGAAGACCTTTGTTTCGGACCGTCTATGTTCTGTACGACTGTTGATGCCGTTGTGAGATCATGCAAAGATAGTTCGAGGAAGCAGAATAACCGTACCTCTTCGGGGTTTGGTTTGAGAGCCAACTCCTCAAAAGGACCGAGGTTAGCCAACACTGGAGCAACCATCATCCCTGTCTGGAAAAAACAAGATTTCATAGCAAGATTAGAATAAAACATCACTTCAACTTATGACATTTCAAAAACCACTCAGGATTGCTGCTCTTCTTCTTTAAGATGTTTACATGAGTGTAAATTGAATCTTTTAGGGATCTGCATTATTGTTAAGACCATCAGAGAATTTGTTGATATTTACTTGTCATAATAAAAATAATGTTTCATCTCCATTTCAGAAACATTAAAATATAAATAAAATTTAAAAACTCAAAATGCTGATACTATAACAATTTCTAAAGACAGAATATTTATCAATAAAATACATGGGAAATGTGATAAAAACCTACAGTTATTGCATTATTGCAGAAAATTCTGTATGAAAACTGAGTGCTTAATGACATTTAGAAATTTGCTGAAGAAGCTGAACCTGAGTTGTCAAACCTTAAGACAGAACACTGGCAACCAAAAGAAGCAAAATCCTGGCTAAAAGCAGCTGAATGTTGCTAAGAGTGCTAAAGTATCTGAAAGCTGCTCAAAGTACTAAAATGATAATAAAGTAGCAGAATGGTAGCTAAAACTAAAAGTAGCGCAAGAAAAACTAGAGCAAGTACGTTTGTCAAAGAAATCAGTTTTCAAGGAGCTGAAGAGATCCCAGTGTATTTATAAAGAGTAAAATATTTGTAAATTAATATCCTGATGCATGCTCAGTAATCCAGGTAGCAAAATCTAACAAAGTTAAGTCAGATCCTCTGGACGGATTCAAAAAGTACAAAAAAAAAAAAAAAAAAAAAACTGTTGAAATGTTTCATCTTTTATCCAAAACACTGTCAGTCTGAGGAGCTATAATTTGTAATTACATTATCATGAAGTCAAACATTTTGAAAAGAAGAAAAGTTTCAAAAACCAAAAGTCATTACGGTAAATGATTAACCAACGTAGCACAAAGTTTGCAGAAGCAGCTCAGAAAAACAATTGTGTGAAAGTTGAATCAGCGTTTTCACCATAAACTGAAACCTTGAAATGCAGTGAAAGCATTGCCAAACAATTAAAAAGAAATCTCAGATGTAGACATTATTTTTAAAAAAGTGTAACGGACCCTGTCTCTGAGAGGTTTCATCACACCCCAAACCCTCTCCGTTTGCACATGAACACCCAGCTCCTCCCAGGCTTCTCGCAGCGCTGTGGCCACCACGTCTCTGTCTGACGGATCGCCCTTTCCTCCAGCAAAGCTACAAAAAGAACAAACGTGTCATTTCACAAAGAACTTATATAAAATTTAAAAAAAAGAGATCAGTGCAGTTTTGTTATTAGCCTCCCACCAACCTGACATCTCCTTTGTGTTTGCCTCTCAGTGTGCTGGAGCGCAGAGTAAAAAGAAAAGCAGGTTCCCCTTCAACAGAGCACAGAGACACCAAGATGGCCGCCCACCTCCCCTGGTTTGCGCCTTGCGTCTGACTCGCCCCTTTTGTCAGTTTGTCCATGTCGTAGAGTTTCCAGTTGGGCACCAGTTCCTGCCGACATCGAGTTTCATTTTGGAGGGACAGGCAGCCTCTCCAGGTGTCCGCCACATGAGGGACAGTCTGACGGACAGTCTGGATCAGACGAAAAGAGTGACCGGGGGACTGTTGACAGCGAAGCGGCTTTAAAATCCACGGCCTCTGTGTCGACGAACTGAACGACCTAAAAGAGTTTGGTACGTGATGAAGGAAGTTACGCTGATTATTGCTGGTGCAGCCGAGAGAAGTCTGACTGAGACCCCAAGGCCTTCTCCGGCGCTGAAGAAAAGTCCGGTTGAATAAACCGTTCCAGAAAGTGCTGACGAGAGAAGACGATTGTTGGGTTTTTGCACAGACTTGAGGGTGGTGCTCACGGAAGCTTACCGTGCCTTTGGAAAGAAGATTTTCAGGTAAAATCTCTCTTAGCTTACGCGTTGAAGTCCTTGAGGATAACAACAGTCCACCCTTAATTGTGCTTTTCCCACATTTTGCTTCATGCGTCCTCTCTTTCACGCATCTTGTTCGCAGCCATCCAAAACCCATGTGCTCAGAAAAGGCCGAAAAGTGAGATTCTCTGAACAGCAGCAACTGTCTCATGGGGTAAGTCCAAACCAGGAGTTGTGGGCTCCTAAACATGCTGTCAAAAACACAGAGACATGCTGAAACATTAATAAGGCTCCTATGGACCAGATGTTGTAGAGAAGAAAAGGAGCATTTACAATAAATATAAAATGAACCAAGAGGCTGTCCAACAGAAGACCATTTGTCCTGACTCAACACTTTTCCTAAATCAGAGGAACAGAACGTCTCATAGAAGTTACCAGGTACTGGTAATTCTCTGAACTTCGCTCGCTCCACTTCAGGCTTTGTTGACTGAGATTTTGTTGCCCAGTTAGGAGTCAGACTGATTACAGGTGCTTTCTGTATGCTCATGTAAAACACTGAATCCATGTTTTCATCAAGTCCTATGTCATTTGCTGAGATGGTCATTTTTGTCACTCCAAACATTCCCAAAGATCTACCTTCCCACCTGAAGGCATCATCAGAACCACGTCAGGACTCTGTCATTTATGATTGACGTTCTACTACTAAACCTTTTCAAGCTCAAATGTATTCTCTCGGACATCATGAAGAGAGTTAACACATTATTAAACTCCCTTCACATTAGACTTTTGTAGCTGCTTTTAATTTGACAGGTTCGGTCTCTCAGTTTTTTAACCGGTACTGGAAAAAAAAAAGAGTTTCTCCAATGGCTTCTTGTTGAAAACAGAACTAAATTTTACAATCATTTTGTGTAATTTTTAAAGCTTTCAATGGCTCAGGACCTGGATATTTATCTTTCTTTAAATTCTAAACGTTTTAAGATTTTCTGTGACAGCCCCTTTCCTTTTGGAGGTTCTACGTTCTAGACTGGCTAGTAAATGCTGCCGTGTTCATTCGTACTCATCTGCTCACACAGACTCATGTTCGTGCTGCTGTTGTGCGGCGTATTGTTTTTGTACCATTACTGCTTAGTGTATTCATAGGTTAGCGTATTTCTAAGTTCATATCTTAGATCTTACTGTGTTTCTTTACAATGTATACTTTTGTTGGATGTAACTGGGACCCTGTGTACGCAATTGTGGTGCGAACGACGAATAAAAGAAACTCTGACTTTGACTAAAGGAGAGCGTGTCCTAGCTGTAACCGACCCGAAGCGCTGGAACGATCATCTACTCTTAATCAGAGTCAGAGTTTCTTTATTGTCATTCGCACCTCATGTGGTACATGTGGTGGAGAGAAATTATGTACACAGGGTCCCAGTTACATCCAACAATAAAATGTATAAGAAAAACAGTAATAACATCTAAGATATGAACTAAGAAAAACATCAACTAAATATACACTAAGCACTCATAACATAAAACATTGAACATCAGCACAAACATGAACATGAGTCAATGAACTGTGTTTTAAAAACTTCACTCATAAGATTTTTTTTCCTGGCTTTTGACAGACAGTCATCATTTGTTTTTTAAATATTTGTACATGTTAAATTTTTTTTCCCCATATTTAGTACATTTGCACAAAGACAGACTTTGAGCTATTTAATTCTTTTGTGGTTGTTAATTTGCTGCACAGTCTTGTTTTGTAGCTCCAACAACATTTTTGTGTTTTTTTTTTCACACCCCATGTTTTATCAATTCCTATCTGTTTTGAGTTTTTTTTATTTTGGGCTATGTACAAATTGTGTAGTTTTACTGTACAGCACTGACTTTGGTCAACTTTAGTTGTTTAGCTTTGATTAGTAACAATAAAATACCATGACAAAGCACAGGAACTGTGCTTTGAATTAATGTTCTAATTTGTGATCATCATAATCATCACTGTTTTGCTAACTAAACAGGTCGCACAGGGCTAATGCTGCTCGTGACATTATTATTTAATCATGTAGAATACAATTATCCAGGAAATCTTCATACAAATTCATGTTTTATCCGATTATTTAAAAGTTTGTCTAGCTGTCAAACTTGATTGTACAGTTGCCAATTACAAACTGAAAATATTTTAGATTATACAGATATATCAGTACGATCTTTCAAAGAGCAGAAAAGGGAACTGTTAAATTCGCAAGACATACTGTAACTAGCAAAACAGAAAAGCTAGCATCATAATGTCACTCGCAAAGCAAAACGGAATTTTTCTAGCATCTTAATGGCAATTAGCTGACTTCACGGACACATTCTGAGTAGTTTGCCAGTTTAGTGTTGATTGATTCATTACAAAATAAAACGTAGGTACAGAAAAGACTCACCTTGACAGAAATACCGTGTTAGCGACAGCTAGCCAGCGACTGTGCTCCCTGACTGGCTGCACCTCGGTCCGCTCCTTTTTGTATCACCGGTGCACCACACGTTAGAAGTGATGGCAGGCGGCTGCGGAAGGGAAACAAAGAACAAAGGCAAGCTGTCAGAACGATCAAGTAATGCTATTTAGTCGCTAACAAATTAAATATACAACACAAAAACCAAATATACCCGCTGGTGAATCCGCAAAGTCGATTTCAGGTCTCTCTTGTAAATGAGTCCTCGAGGCTCAATGGGATTTACCTGTCTAAATAAAGGTTAATGATATTCAATCATGGCGTGCGCCGGTATAGAAATGATGCAGACCCACATAAGGCGGAGCGCAGCTTTAGCGTCAATGCTGCGCCGCTTTGACGTCACTCAAACTTTTCTCCAGTTTCTGTACAAATTAAAATATGTTGGCGGTGAGGCCTCCGCGGACAAAATGTTTGCAGTATTTAGTGATGAAATCACTTTGAAAACCCCTACATTACGTCACAAGTCAGCGCCAGAAACCTGCTCGTCTTGTTCGACCTGCTTATCAGTTTCCCCCACAAAGTCGGCCAAGAAAATTCTCCTTTTATGTTTTTAAATGAAAATAAAACAAATGGCTGGAACAAATTTCTGAACATGCCATTTTATTTTATTTTTTGCTGAATGGTTAAATTTGATAATAATGTTCTATCAGTTATGGGGGAAACTGTTAAAACACAATGATAATTTCCTCACCACACCTGTTTTCACAGCTCCACCCCAAGCCAGGAGAGTTGGAGTATTTTAGGGTCATGTGATTCATCTGAACAGGCATTTGAGCCTTTTAGTCTTGACGGTCTTTCCAGTTTGATTCAGCGTATCCTTTGGGATCCAGGTTAGACTTCTGCTGCACATGGCCACGGCTTGGCCCGAAGAGGAGAGCTTTGCCTGCTCAGTATGCCTGGAAACCCTGAAGGACCCCACCACCCTACCATGTGGACACTCGTACTGCTTGGCTTGTATCCAGAACCACTGGGACACCAAGGGTCTGTGCAGCTGCCCTCAGTGTAGACAGGTCTTCAACCCTCGACCCTCGCTGGCCAAGAGCACCCTGCTTGCAGAGGCCATGGAGAAGCTGAGAACCAACAGCCTCAAGCAAAACTCCTTCAAAGCAGCTTTTCCAGCCCCACCTCCACCAGTGCCTATCTACCTGGAGGTTCTTTCGGATGTAGGGCCGAGGAAGGGCAGCGTGTACCCACAGCTTCCCAAGGTTGAATCCAGACACTGCTCTCTACACAATCGACCTCTTGATCTTTTTTGCCACCAAGACAGGGAGTGTGTTTGTGAGGTGTGTTGCCAGCATGCACACAGAGGACACCATGTGCTCAAACCGCAAGAAGAGAGAATGGAGAGACAGGTATGTGGTTGGTAAAATATGGGTTTAAACCTCATGTTTGGTCTATGAAGTAAGAAACATGTGATCAGGAACAGTGTCATCATGGGCGTAGTAGTTTTCAGACTCTGGCTAATCCTGTTGGACAAGCGTCCTTTCATTCATTTGCTTTTTTTGTTTTGTTTTTTATTATCTGTCAAAAATATTACTAAGCATAGTTTAAAGTATTTGCTGCCCCAGAGTATGTATTTTATGGTTTCTTTATGTATGTTTTTTTGTGTAGAAAGAGCTCATCCAGATGCAGGCCGAGGTCCAGAGAAGAATCCTCGAGTCTGAGAGGATGCTCAAGGAGCTCCCACCCGCTGCACGTCAACACAAGGTCCCACTGACTGCTTACAAAAACTTTTAATTAAAATGTGCAGCTCGAGCAGGTTTTTGGGAACAGCATGTTGGATGACGTAGACCAAATTGGCAGTAAACTGTGGGAGATTTTGACATAAACAAGATTTTTGTCAAAAATGCATCAAAACCATTTCAGTTTCCTTAAGTTTACAAGAATGGAGTTTAGGTTGTGTACCCTTTTTATTAAAAAAAAAAAAGATTTTATTTTATTTATTTTTTACTTTGAGGAGCTAATGAAGAGAATGAAAGAGAAAGAAGAGTAGAGGCCATAGAAACTGTGGACCAGGAAGTGGGAAATATTAATGAGGGTGAAATTTGAAAAGCTCTGAAAAGAATGAAGGAGGGGAAGGCAGTAGGACCTGATGACATACCAGTGGAGGTTTGGAAATGACTTGGAGAGATGGCAGGGATGTCCTTGACTCAAATATTCAATGGCATATTTGAGGGTGAGAAAATGCCTGAAAAACGGAGAAGAAGTGTGCTGGTGCCCATTTTTAAGAACAAGGGTGATGTACAGAGTTGTAGCAACTACAGGGGAATTAAGTTAATGAGCCACACAATGAAGATCTGGGAGAGAGTTGTGGAAGTAAAACTTAGATGAGAGGTGACTATCTGTGAGCAGCCGTATGGTTTCATGCCAAGAAAGAGCACCGCAGATGCCATCTTTGCTTTGAGGATGCTGATGGAGAAGTACAGAGAGGATCAGAAAGAACTCCATTGTGTTTTTGTGGATTTAGAAAAAGCGTATGACAGAGTACCAAGAGAGGAGGTGTGGTATTGCATGAGGAAATCTGGAGTGGCAGAAAAGTATGTTAGACTGGTACAAGACATGTATGAGGACAGCAGGACAGTGGTGAAATGTTTTGTAGGAGTGACAGATAGCTTCAAGGTGGAGATGGGAGTGCATCAAGGATCAGCTCTGAGCCCCTTCTTGTTTACTCTTGTGATTGACCAACTAACAGACGAGGTCAGGCAAGAATCCCCGTGGACTATGATGTTTGCAGATGACATTGTGATCTGTGGTGAGAACAGGGGACAGGTGGAAGAGAACTTGGAGAGATGGAGGTATGCACTTGAAAGAAGAGGAATGAAAGTCACCTGTAGTAAGAGAAAGTATGTGTGTGTGAATGAAGGAGGCTGGTGGAACAGTGAGGCTACAAGGAGCAGAGGTCACAAAGGTGCAGGACTTCAAGTACTTGGGGTCCACTGTCCAGGAAAATGTGGAATGAAAGAGAGTCCAGGCAGGATGGAGTGGATGGAAAAAAGTTTCAGGAGTGATTTTTGACAAAAGAGTGTCAGCAAAAGTCAAAGGAAAAGTTTACAAGACGGTGGTGAGACCAGCTATATTGTATAATCTTGAGACAGAGGCATGGACAAAAAGACAAGAGCAAGAACTGGAAGTGGCAGAAATGAAGATGTTGAGGTTCTCCTTAGGAGTAACAAGGATGGATAAGATTTGGAATGAGATCATCAGAGGTACAGCACAGGTTGAACAACTGGGAGATAAAGTTAAAGAGGCTGATGAGATGATTTGGACATGTCTAGAGGAGGGATAATGGGTATACTGGTAGAATAATGTTAGAAATGCAGCTGCCAGGAAGAAGACGAAGTGGAAGGCCAAAGAGGAGATATATGGATGCAGTTATAGAGGACATGGAGGTAGTTGGAGTGACAACAGAAGATGCAGAGGACAGAGATGGAAGAGGATGACTCGCTGTGAAGGGAGAAAAGCTGAAAGAAGTTTTTGAAGATTTTAACCCAAAATGTTCAGTTTAGGGGCAGCACGGTGGCGCAACTGGTAGAGCTGCTGCCTCTCAGTGAGCAGGTCCTTGGTTCAAACCCCGGTCCAGGGGCCTTTCTGGGTGGAGTTTGCATGTTCTCTCCGTGCATGCGTGGGTTTTCTCCGGGTACTACGGTTTCCTCCCACAGTCCAAAAACATGCATGTTAGGCTGATTGGTAACTCTAAATTGTCCCTAGGTGTGAGTGAGAGAGTGAATGGTTGTTTGTCTCGTTTGTCTCTATGTGTCCCTGTGATGGACTTGCGACCCGTCCAGGGTGTACCCCGCCCCTCGCACAGTGATCGCTGGACATGGGCACCAGCGACCCCCGTGACCCAAAATGGAATAAGCGGGTAAAGAAAATGGATGGATGGATGGATGGATGTTCAGTTTAGTTTGATGTCACACACTCACCTTTAGGCTTCCTACATTTTCTAAAAGATTTGAAAACTACTTCCAATTTCCACAATCTTTTTAATACAGATGCTGGTAAGTAATGCATCAAAAAAGAGGCATCTTCGTCTTCTTTCTGTGTTTCTCTTACATTTATAGGAGTTTTGTTTGTCTCTTATTTCCTCCCAGAATGCAGACCGCTCACATTCAAACTCCCATTGACTTCTATTGTCTATATTCTTTATCATACACCAAAGTTAGTTATGGTTCAGCTCTTGGGCCAATACTCTTTACCTTGTATATGCTTCCATTAGGTAATGGGATAAATTTTCATTGTTATGCTGATGATACACAGTTATTTGTCCATGAAACCCAATGAATCCAATCAGCTACTTAGACTACAAGCATGTCTTAAAGACATAAAAACCTGGATGACCCTAAATTTTCTGCTTTTGAACGAGAAGGCAGTACTGAGTTTTTGGACCTGAATTTAGGAATATATTTTTCAGTCTTCCACCCTCCTTGGATGGCATCAATCTGGCCTCTAGCTCTAATGTTAAAAAGCTTGGTGTTATTTTTGATCAGGACATGCCTTTTTTTTTTTTATCCCCCACATTAAAAACGTTACTAGAACTGCCTTCTTCCATCTGCGTAATATCGCTAAAATTATAAACATCTTATCTAGAAATGATGCAGAAAAACTGGTTCATGCATTTGTCACGTCTAGACTGGACTATTGCAATGGTTTATTATCTGGATGTCCAACTACTTCTTTAAAACGTCTTCAGTTGATCCAAAATGCTGCTGCCAGAGTCTTAACTGGAGTTAGTGGGAGAGATCATATCTCTCCAGTTTTAGCTTCTCTCCATTGGCTCCCTGTCAAATCCAGAATAGAATTAAGAATTTTACTTCTAACCTACAAAGCTCTCAACAACCTAGCTCCATCTTATATTCGAGATCTTTTTGTTCCATATTTTCCTAAGAGAGCACTTCACTCTCAGACTGCAGGCTATCTTGTGGTCCCTAGAGTTTCCAAATGCAGAATGGGAGGAAGATCTTTATCAGGCTCCTCTCTTGTGGAACCAACTTCCAGTTTCTGTCTGTGAGACTGACACATTGTCCAGTTTTAAGACTGAGTTTAAGAATTTCCTTTTTGATAAATCCTATAGTTAGGGTCGGCTTGTCATGCTTTCTTAACCTTAGACTACTGGAGGACAAATTGACCTCATTTCCTTAAATTGTTAAAATTTAATAGTTTTCATTTGATACTAGTTCTATCATAACAGGTGTTTATTGACCTGTCATTGTGAATCTGTTCCTCCTTCCTGTTCCTCTCAAACCCAGCTGGTCGAAGCAAATGGGACGCTTGTCCCATTGTAAGGTTTCTTACTCATGAGGGAGTTTTTCCTTTCCACTGTCACCTTCATGCTTGCTCAAGATGAGAGTCTGTGATGGAGTTAAACTCAAAGCAGTCTGCTCCTCAGATAAATAATGTTAAATTATTGTTTTCAAATATGAATGTTTCTGTTCAGTGCCCTGAGACGATGTCTGTTGTGACTTGGCGCTATATAAATAAACTTTAATTTAATTTAATTAAACTGAATTGAATTATTGTATCTGAGTTCAGACTTTTCTCTTCCAAACTGGAAGAGAGCGGTCTTTTAAATTGTCACAACTCCCGCATAAACACTGTACAACTTAAAACTGGACTCTTCTGCCACTTATGAATTATAATTTATTAAGAATTTTGTGCATTCGCGGTTCACTTTGTGCTCTGTCCTTCTGTCTGCCTGTTTAAGTTTTTTTTTTTTTTTTTTAAGACACCGGTGTGTGGTAAATGAGCCACTGGTGGCTTTTTTGTACCTTTCGTGAATCAAAGAGGGGGAATTGGAACTAATTTCTGTCTGTCCATTCGGCTGTCCATCCGTGCACGTTGTGAGCACGACAATTTGAAAAACAAGTGAGGTACAGACTTCTGTTTTGGTATGTGGTTGCATCTAGCAGTAAGAAAGGTCATTGTGGGGAAAAAAATGGATTACCAAATCAAAATCCAAGATGGCCACCACAATATTCATTCATTCAACCTTTATTTATACAAGATAATCCCACTGACTCTCATTTAGGACTCATTTATAAGAGATACCTGATTTTAACAAAGAGTGATGGCAACAGTGGACAATGAAGACTACAGTAGATGATCATAAAAGAAAGCATGCAAATTGAGAAGAACAAGTGGAAAAAAAGTTGTTTAAAAAACGAAACAATAACCTCTAGGTTGTAAAGTGATGTAGAATACTAACCAGTATGTGATATACCTGTATATGGCAACTAACCAGTATGTGATATACCTGTATATGGCAACTAAAGTTCTATCTTTTCTTATATCTGGTCATGTTTTGGTGCCAAGGTCACCATTGACCGAAATGACCACGCATGCAAAGAGAGAACATGCAAACTCCACCCAGAAAGAACACCAGCTGGGATTTTATTTGACGGCCTTCTTGCTGCGAGTCAACCGCTCTAATTTACTTGCATTCCCTGTTCAACTCCAGTCCAGAAAAAAGCAATTTAAAAACTTCAAAACATTCACTGTTCAAATCCCTCAGTGACGAGGAACATCAGTGTACCACTTGTTTAGGCTTGGTTTATTTACTACGTTTGTCTCTGATTATTACAAATTACAATTGGGCTTTAGGAAGCTGAATGGTTGAATTTCACCCTATAAAATTAATAATTAAATAGATCTATTGTGTTAACAGTTTCAAAACCTCTATCTCATCTTTTTTTTTCTCTCTGACTTTAAATCTCCAGGCCCTACTGCAGGCTCTGGAAAAGGAGAGTTCAGATTTGTTTCCCGATCTCGTTAAGAGCTTGAACCAAACAGGAACTGGAATTTGTGAGCTACTTGGGAGCCATGAGACGGCCTTTTGTAGCCAAGTTGAAGGGCTGATCCAGGGCCTGGAGCAGGAGGTGGCACAGCTCCACTGGAAGCATGAGGAGCTGATCAGAATAGCTGATCTTCAGGATGATGTCTGCTTCCTGAAGGTGATGATGATATGGCTTGACACTGTATGGATTTCATATTTATTTCACTGATGGCTTAAAACTGAGAGAGGAGGGTAATAAATGTTTCTTGCATTTTTTTTATTTTCAAGAATTTCCTCCTCATGGAGCCTCTGGGTAAGATGAGTGACACAGGAGAGTCGGTGCTGAGTGAAGAAGAAGCCAGGGTGACCTCTATTCGCTCATCCATAAAAGAGCTGCAGGACTCAGTACAGGACCTGTGCAAAGCCACTCTGGACAAAATCACCAAAATAGGTCAGATTTTTTTCTTTATTGTCCCCCATCACGGAGCCAAGAGAGGGAATTGAACATATCCTCCTCTCTGTGCATGTTGTGAGCATAACTTGAAAACTTGGTGAGGTACCAACTTTCATTTTGGTGTGTGGCTACATTAGGCGCAACAAAAGGTACTCTTTGAAAACTGGGTTACCTTATCAAAATCCAAAATGGCTGCCACCATTAGGGGTTGAACGAGTATATAATTTTTAAACTTGACATTAACATAATAAAACCCGAGTAGAACTCGAGTATTTGATGATGTCATAGATCTCAAGATACAAAAATAAATTAATTAATTAAACCGCAAAAAAAGGTAATTATTTACCAAAAAAAAAGACCAACAAAACATTGGGAGCGTATAATATGCTCCTACCATTTATCATACTGCAAATAAGTCACAGGAAAAACTAAACTATTAGTTATTATTATGAAACTGCAAACGTGAAGAAACGCAGCACGTCAAAAACGAAACTTAAACCGAAACTGGTTCTGGTGGATTGGACCCGGTGTTACACCATACTCTGTGACCTGCAACAGTGCAACACCGCCCCTACGGTCATACGTGGTCACATAATATGACGTCACTACGGATACTCGACTTTACTTTTTTAACATCGATAGATGTCCTAGCAATCGATGTGTAGATTACTCGAGTACTCTGTTAATGCCCTAGCCACCATACATGCGTACATGTAAACCTTGTGAGGTGGATGACTGGGAAAATAAGCAACACACTGACTTATATTCATAAGAAGGGTCGTTGCCAAAAATTGGGTTGCCAGATGGCCACCACCAGCCACCCTGATCCTAAAAAAGTATGCTTTCTAGTTTTTAAATTACTTTTAAGTATACTTTCTCGGATAGTTAGGGTGGCTGAAGGTTAATCAATAATGGTCAGGGCCACCGTTGGCCACCCCCTGGCTCCACCATTGCACCTGGTGGAGGATAAAATTTCTACCTCCACTAACAAGGATTGGTCATTCTGCACCACATCAGACAAACAAACAAAAATGGCTACCTATGTTCTTCTCCACAGTTTAACTTCTACCCACTTGAATATCTTGCTCCAAAAACTTTAAGTTTCACCTGCATTCTCTGTTCAGTTCCAGTCCAGAAAAACACTAATTTATAAGACGACAGACATTCACTCTTTAAATCTCAGTGATGGGGACATCTGTGTACTTTTTTTTTTTCTTGTCTTTCATCAGTGTTGTTTGTAAAAAAAAATTCTGTTGTTTGCAGTGAATCATGAGCCTGTGGCTTCAACACCCAATGGTGGAGCAGTAGCAGCAGCAACAGGCACAGCACCCGCTGGTTATTCTTGTCCGGCCGCTGCTCAAGTTACAGGTTTGGTGACTTCGCATGGTGCAACGCTTTGCAGAATAGTCTCAAACTTAGAGACACCTTCCTAACCATCCATCTTCTCATTTTAACAGTGTATGAATCCATTACAATTCCTCCACCTCTGCCGCCTCCACGACCTCAAGGTAAACTAGAGAGAGAATTTGCATTTCCTGCAAGAATGCAGTGAGAATGCTGACCACAGACTGATTTTCCTAAAAACTGCTGGACAACCTGAAATTTGAAATGCATTAATAATTGAAAGGAGCACATAAAGGAGAAAACGGCACAAAATTTACTGAAAAACACAGGAAAAGCTTGAGTTAGAACATTTAAGATGGGCCCTTTTTTTTAAAAGAAGGAGCTAAAAGTAGAAGAAACGAGCTGAATTTAGCAGAATTACATAATCTGAAAAGAGTAAATAGCTCAAATTAGCAGAATAAATTTTAAAAAAGAACAAAGAAGCTGCAAATAGAAGTTAAAACAGAGCAAACTCTTCAGAAATTAGCAGAAAGTGGAGGAAAAACAAACGCAAAAAGCTGAAATTATTTGACGGAAGCTGAAATGAGCACAATAAAGACGGAATTGGTTACAAAGTAGCAGAAGGAAAACGGCTAAAAATCGTAAAAATAAAATAAAAAACTTCTAAAGTAGCTAAACAATCAAAAATTTGCAGAAAGAAGCTGAAAAGGGCAGGATAAAAGCTGAAGTCGAAAACGGCTGAAATGAGCAGTGAAAGGTTTTTAACAGCTAAAGGCTTTGAAGGATGTGGAGAGCTCCATTCATTTTCAATAAGAAAAACATGGCCGACAAAGTTAAATATTTTCTAATGGTAAAAATAGCAGAAATGCCCAAAGTCACAGCAGAAATGTCCTGAATGAGCTGAACATTTTCATACATGAATTGTTGAAACTAGAATTCAGAAACAAGTTGGATACCAAAAATGTTTGTAAAGATAAACTGATTACCAAAGTACACTCATTGTGTGAGTGCTTATAAACGATGGTCAGTAAGTTTATGGCCAGAAGCTGCGCCTGTTCAGGTCCCAGAGTTATTTTTTTATAATTAGTCTGGTTGTTCTCCCCTCCAGTGTGTGATCCCCCGAGGTTTGGAGGTTCTCTGAATCATCAAGGTAAGAGCAGGAGTGTTCCCAACAGGACTTGGAGGACATGTAAGTTATTGCGGATACATAAAGTTAATGTTTGTTTGTTTTTTTTATCTTTTTTTTTTTTTAATCACATTTTTCTCTTTTGCCATCAAGCTTCAGCACCACCTGTTCCTCTTCCTCTTCCTTTTCCTCGACCTCGATCTCAAAGTATGTAAAATTTTTGTAACATCTTTGAAAGCTGGGGGGGGGGGGCACATTTGGCAACCCCTAAAAAATAAAATTTAAATAAATCCCTGGCCCCTCCGCCGTTTCCCTTCATTATCCTACAGTTGTATCCACTTGCATCCCAAGCTTGGAGTGCATTTTTACTCCCCTTTGCTGTTTAGGATCTTTAGTACTTTGATAAGCACTTTGATAACAGTCTATCTGTTTTAAATTGTGCTCTATAAATAAATATGACTTGACTTGACTAGTACCTCAAACATATAAATAAACATAATTTTTGATCAATTAGGTGTTTATAAAAATATAATTTACAGTTTAAAATATGTAAATAAAACTTTTAGTGCCCTTGAATAAGAACTGGTCTAAAACCAGTGCCCTCAACAGTAAGTTTCAGGGTCTCAGAGGTTGCATTCATAATGGTTATTTTTCTTAAATCGAATTAGCAGTTTTTGTCTTTTTATTCCCAGTTTGACATTTATCATAGCCTTTGTTTGTTCACAAAAGTACACAACAAAAAGCAAATAAAAACATTTTTAAATAATTGGAAGTGGCAGCTTTAAACTTGAGTTTGTTTCTAGTAAATGTTTTGTTTTATGTATGATCTCAAATTAAGTTTTTCAAATGACCATTTTACAACAACAGTATAATAAAATGTTTGAAATTTAGTTTTGGCTTTTACTTCCAATATCTGCACCTCCCTCCCCACCCCCATTGAACCCCATTAATACATTTCTGGAGATGCCACTGGTTACCACATGATTGATCAAACCCCATCAGACCTTTGACTGGTGGACATTATAATGTTAGATTAGAGCTTGAGAAGATCAAGGATTAATTTTCCATGCCTTGTCTTTAAATGCAACGTGTTTTTTGTTTGTTTGTTTGTTCGTAGCATCTGTAAGAACAGCAACTACAGTTGAAAATCCAGAATCAAGAACAAGAGAGGAAATGTTAAAATGTGAGTGTTGCCTTTTACATTTTTTTTTTTTTTAATAAAGCTCAATACTGAGCCCAATCTAGTATTCAGATGTTTCATTATAATTCATCCTCTTCCTTCAGTTCGTTTTGAACCCACCTTGGACCCCAACACGGCGTACCGACACCTAAAGCTGTCAGATGATGGTCATAAAATCACAATGCGTTCTGAGAACCTGAACCCGCCGGACCACCCTGAGCGCTTCGTCTTCTGGAGACAAGTCCTCTGCCGAGAGCCCCTGGCTGGGAGCCCTTACTACTGGGAGGTGGAGTGGACTGGCCAGAAGGTGGACTCTTAAAAACATCTGTTCTTTTTTTTTTAAAATTTATCTCAAATGCATGTCTGCTACAAACAAATGCTGGGAATTACTGCTATTTAACTCTGGTTGGGGGGAAAATCCCCAAGTCAACAATTTCATTCTGTTTAAACCATCTACCAGTTTTGAATACTAAATTTTAATTTAGGTTTTCCACGTTTTAACTAAAATATAGATATTTTTTCACCTTTTTGAGACACCACGGTCTTTCCTTTTAAAGTGTATGATATAGGAAAGAACTAGAGATTTTATGTGATGATCATGTGATTTGATTTTGGCTCAACATTCAGCTCCTGCATCTACACTATATTACCCAAAATTTAAAAGTAACGTATTTTGTTATGTCTGCATGGCTGTAGTTTGTAAAAGTTATTATTTATTTAAAAAACGCCTGTCGATGGCATAGTCTCTGGTTGTCCGTAAAGTTTCTCTCGTCATGCCCATAAATTCTGATCCGTTCAACATAATTTAACGAAACTTCGTACACATGAATCATCATTACACGGAGTGGAGCAGTTTAAGTATCTTGGGCATCATTCAAGGTTCTTTATTATTTGCATCACATGTGGTACATGAGGTGGAACGAAATCATGTACACAGGGTCCCAGTTACATCCAACAATAGCAAAAATATAAATTGTAAAAGAAACTGTACTAAGGACTAAACTAAGAAATACGCTAGACACTTAATGGTGCCAAACAATATGTCAAATAACAGGAGCACATGAGATGGTAGGCTGGAATGGGAGATGGATCGGCAAATCGGGCCTCGTCCTCAGTAATGAGGGCATTGCTTGTTGTGATGAAGAAAGCACTGAGTTGAAAGGCAAAGCTCTGGATTTCTTGGTCTGTCTACTTTCCAACCCTCACCTGTGGTCATGAAGTTTGGATTATGACTGAAAGTCAAGTCAAGTCATATTTATTTATAGAGCACAATTTAAAACAGATAGGCTGTTATCAAAGTGCTTAACACTAATGGTAACACTAAGAAATAAAAAGCCGTAAGAATATACCTTTAAAAAATTAAAACAACAGCATTAAAATGAAGACATGGAACAAGATATACTAAATCAACTCACACAGTATGAAACACCAGAGAGAACAGATATGTTTTTAGCAGGGATTTGAACACAGGAAGGGAGGTGGCATG